AATGATGTCAAAGTCCTTTTGACCTTTAAGATCATAGGTCTAACTTATTTGGGACTTTGATTGTCCTGCTTGACCTTCTCAGTGACTTTTGATTTGGTGACTCAAGATTCTGACCATATGGATTCTCTATCTCAGGAGGTCTAGGATCTAAATCATTAATTCCAGAATTTACATTTTCTGACTCTAGACAACTTGGTTCACTCATATCAACAGAACTTGGTTGTGGAACAAACTGAGTTGGTGTGAACTGTTCAGATTTGGTGGGATTGACAGATTCACACTTATTATCTGCACAAGTTATTTTTAACTGGTCTGCATGTCTACGGACAATAAGTCCATCATTTGTTTTTACTTTATAATACACAGGTCCTGTACATTGAACAATTTGACCTGGTATCCATTTTTCCCTTCTCCCATAATTTCTTAGATACACATTATCATTAACACCAAATTCTCTTTCAATGGATGTTTGTCCTGATTTAATGGAACTATTTTTGAAGTGGCATCTGGAAGTATTATGCTGTTATTCAGATCCTTGACTGACATAGATTTCTTTGATTGATCAATTTTCTCAGGTAATCTGATAGTGCTTTTTAGTAACCAAAAATACTGTTTAAAAGTAATATCCTGGACCATATCAATTTGCAACTGTGATCCAGTATTTGAAGTGGTGTATTAAATGGCAAAAATCTTTTTTTCTTTTGATGTTACCCTTTCAGTTTCTGTAAGTGCTAATAATGTTAGCAAAGTTGTTTGATGATCACATTCCTTCTTATTTAAAGCATTTGAAATTGCCATATCACCATAATCATTTATTAAGTTACAAATACTTTGTTTAGGCAACTCTGACTGATAATGGACTGCATCTTCTCCATCTTTTAGACTTAATTCCATTTTTCTTATTTTACATGGCCTTAAGTCATCATTCACAGACTCTTCAGGCCAACCATTCTTACAGTACTCATATACTTTTATTAAGCACTCATCTTTTTGTGTTTCTCTTTTAATATCATTCACATTTATATTGGAGTTATCCATGATAGTGAAAAGAACAAATACTTCTTCTGGTACATAGCTAAGGCTTTGGTTTTTTAAAGGTAACCTACTAAGACTATCTGCACTATTCTCAGATCCAGGTTTGTATTTCAATTCATAATTGTATGCAGTTAGTGTGATAGCCCATCTTTGAATTCTTGGTGAGGCATGCTCAGGTAGGGTTTTGTTTTCTCCAAATAAACCTAGCAATGGTTTATGATCTGTAAAGATGGTGAACTTCCTACCAAACAGAAACTTATGAAATTTCTTAACACCAAAAATGATGCCTAAGCCTTCCCTATCTAACTGAGAATAATTTTTCTCAGCCTGGTTCAAAGATCTACTGGCAAAAGCAATGGGTCTGTCACCCTTTTCATCCATGTGGGACAAGACTGCTCCTACACCATCTGGTGAAGCATCACATGTTAATATAAGTCTTTTCCCTGGGTCATAGTGAGTTAGTAAGGTGTCAGAAGACAAAGCTTCTTTTGCTGTATTAAAAGCAGCTTCTTGTTGTTTACCCCAGTGCCAAGTTGCATTTTTCTGCAGCAGCTTGTACAGTGGTGATAGTTTACCAGACAGATTCCCTATGAACTTTGCATAGTAATTTATCAAGCCCAAAAAAAGCTCTTAGTTGTTGGGTATTTTCAGGTTTGGGTGCTTCTTTAATGGCTTTTGTTTTCTCAGGTTGAGGTCTGATGCCTTGCTTGCTTAATATATAACCAAGAAAACTAATTTCTGTCAGCATGAATTGACATTTATCTTTGTTTATCTTTAAACCTTTTTCACCAACTATTTTCAAGACTTTATCAAGTGTTTTAAGATGTTCAGTGTCATTCTTACCAGTTATGTACACATTGTCAAAGTAAACACAAACATTTGGAATATCCTTAAAAATACTGTCCATGACAGCTTGGAAAATTCCAGGGCTGGATGATATACCAAAACATAGCCTTTCATATTGGTAGAGTCCTTTATGTGTGTTTATTGTCGTATAGACTTTTGAATCTGGATGCAGTTCTAGTTGAGTGTAAGCATGACTAAAGTCTAATTCAGTGAATTTGTCTCCTCCTGCCAAATTCAAAGAAATTTCCTCAATGTTAGGAATAGGGTACCTATTTAGCTCTATTTGCTTATTCAGTGTAGCTTTATAGTCTCCACAAATTCTTACAGAACCATCCTTCTTTAACACTGGCACAATGGGCGTTGCCCAATCGGAATAATCTACCTTCTTTATGATGCCATTAGATTCCAATCTACTTAGCTCATTTTCAATTTTATTCCTCATTGCATAAGGTGGAACTCTAGCTTTGCAGTATCTTGGATTTGTGTCTTTAATGCTTATCTTCACTGTTCTATCATTTAGTAATCCAGGATTACCAAAAACACATTTATTTTCAGATATAACTTTATCTATTGAAGTAAGACTAGATTCTCTTGCATTGATCACTGAAAATATACTCTTCCAATTTAACTTAAGATCAACTAACCAGTTCCTACCTAGTAATGGTGGTCCATTTCCTTCAACCACAAGAAGAGGAAGTTTAACACTTTGACCATTATAACTTACATGAACCATACACTCTCCTATTACCGGAACATTGTCACCAGTGTATGTTGTTAGACACTTGTGACATGGTTGTAGAGGCACTGATCCTCCTGTGACAGCGTCAAAGTCCTTCTTTGTGATGACTGTTAGAGATGCTCCAGTGTCAAGTTGGAAGCTGATGCTCTTACCGTTGATATTAACTAGTACATTGATGGGAGCATGACTTATTGATTTCACAGAGAACAGGTTGAAATCCGGCTGCGAATCAGTTTGAGCATTTTCACAGGTAGAGTGGTTCATTGGTTGGGTTAGGTAGTCTTGGTGAGAGTTAACATAGTGCTGTCTTTGGTTGCGGTACTGTCTTGACTGGCTAGATTTAGCAACAGACGAAGACTTTGCAAAGCAGGCCTTGGCAATGTGACCTTGCTTACTGCACTTATAACAAGTAGCTGACTTGAACTTGCATTGATGAGATGCATGGGGACCGTTGCATCGATGACATTTTTGATAATTATTACTAGATTTAGATCTAGAATTTGAACGTGCAGGATGTTTAGCATAAGTTGAAATGCTCTGATGGGGTTGGTGTTTGTTGACTAACCTGCTGTTTACTGCATGGATCTCTGAGGGTGCTAGAGATCTCGCCGCATCGGATGACTGCTGGAATGAAGTTGCAAGTTGTATTGCTTTTTCCAAGGTGAGATCTGACTCGAGAAGCAACTTTCTTTGAATATCAGGGCTGTTTACACCTGTCACAAACTTTTCACATAGTCTGTCAGACAGCGTGTCTCCGAATTCACAAAATTCACTTAAATGACGTAAAGCAGCAACATATTCTGATATTGACTCGTTTGGTTGACGAGTCCTACCGTCAAATCTAGCTCTAGACAGGAACTTTAATGGTGCGGGCGCATGGTGGTCTGTTAGCAGTTTGCTCAGCTCGTTAAAGCTCTTAGTAGTTAGACTAGCTGGTGCGCATAAGTCCTTTAGTAGCCTAAATTGTTGAGGCCCTATGACTGTTAACAAAACAGCTCTCTTTTTGGCTTCTATCGTCACGTCGTTAGCTTCAATGTAAAAGCTTAACCTATCTAGATAATCATGAATGGTTTCATCATTCGAATCAAATTCTTTTATTTGGCCATACAGCGCCATTATTCTAGAAATACTTAGCCAATATGCTCTAGCAAACCTCTTTTTGAGTAAGTAGGTGCTCTTTCTAGTGGATTATCCCATCCTCGTCGCCAGATGTAATGGATTGACGATAGAAGCATGTGGTTGTATATAAAACGTTTATTGGCCTTCAACTACATGATGGAACGAGAGAGGGCGGAAGTGACGAGAGACAAAGATATATATACATGTAAGGGACATCACTCAAGATAACAGTATAAATATAATACTAATACAAGAAGAGTGAGTTCCCTTGACTTCACAAGTCTCACTATATTACATAAAGCAAGGCCTACAGTCTACACCAATGTAAATCTGCCCTTTACTTGTATCAACATTATCAACACACATGTCAAACATTTTGTTGATACAAAGTTTTTGTCAAACATTTTGTTGACAGTGCATGTTAACCCACAAACCTTAATGTTAGCACAGAAAATGTTGACACAAAATGCTGTCATGACAGCCTTCATGTAATGGGGATATAAAAAAAAAATTAACAATTAAATGCTGTCTGTTATTGTTACAACAAACACATATAATTTCTATTTTATTCCATAAGAAAAATTCCACAATAAAACCCTAGACAATGTAAGGGGAGGAACAATAACTGCTTTTACTCATTTGAATTAGTTTACAGAGGAAGTGAATGTGATGAGGGATATAAGGATACCAAAACCCATATAATTCACACAATTTTGTGTGAAAATTCAGGAAAGATTTACAGTTATTTCTGTTTCCAGGTTACCAATGGATGCTTCTATCTCTTTATAAATAAACTATCAACCAACTTGAATACAGAAAAATATAATTAAAAACGTACATTGTGAAAAAAAATAAATGAAATATTTACATAAGAATCAAAATACTTATTTTTATTTACACATAATTTTGATACACATCTGATTAAAAACAACACCGGAGTTCTATAAGTTTGTTGTGTATTTACAACACTTAGTACATCTTGCTAGCAATACAACTACATCTAGTTCATGTCACTGAGCTGTGTTAAAAAGAGAAAAACTAACTGGTCAGAAAGTAATCGGAGTAATAGTTACATTAGCAGGGATCAATACTGCATAACTAAAGTAACATCTTTAAAATGTACTACTGTTTTATAATGTGAAATTATTTTTTTAAAACCCATATTTAATATATTTTTTTAAAAACAGCTTATCGTAATATAAAATTCTACTCTTTCTAGAATTTTTAAGGGATGTACATCTTCATGTAGTTAAGATTCCAAAAAAAAAGAATTCTTAACAAGCCAATATTAGTAGAAATTATTTTTTAAATAAAAATTAGGAATTAAGATGGTACTGAGTAATTGAAATTACATTATTTCATTGACTATTTTATTTTTACAACAGTATTGAACATAGACAATAAAGGTAAAAATCTTAAGCAAAGAAAAAAAAATATGGTAAAGAAACATCTGAAAAATGATTACCCAAAAGTATGTTTTACATATCATACTCGTACCTTTAGATCACAGACCTTCCACCAAAACCAAACACTTAAATATAAATGTTGGGAGGTTGCTGTACAGAAATATAGACTACAATTCATAACCTAATCACAAATCATCAACAGAGAATGTATATATTTTAAAAAGCATGAAAAAAACATTGTGAATTTATGTGTGGGAACAGAACAATCATCTCAATAGAAAAGTATCACTGATCTGTTGGTGCAGACTGACTAGTTAGATTTCTTCTCATATTCACTGTAAGCTGGGGGTGGTCCATGGTATGCTGGCGGGGCCATGCCATTGGCTGCTGGTGCGTAAAAGTTGTGCTGGTTCGATGGGTCATAGTAAGCGTAGCTGCCGCCTCCTGGGCTTTGGCATCATGTCCATTAGCCATTGGTGCTGTGGGGGTGGGGTACATCATGCTGGGGTCCACTCCAGGATAGGGAGGTGGTGCTTGACTCATGTAAATGCTTTGAGCTGGAGGTGCTGTTGGAAATGTGTCATAGGGAACCCATGAGTAATAGGAGTTTCTGGGAGGCTCGTATGCTGGGGGTGGGGCAGCATAGTAGTCAGCGCCAGGTGGGGCATAATATGGTGGAGGATTTGGGGGTCTGTTGCATGAGGCAAGAGAAGCAGCATGAAGCATGGCTTTTCCAAATTCAATGGCTCCACCATGAGTAAAGTGCATTTTAAACTTGGCTTCACCTTCCCAATTTCCAAATTGTTCTGCTAAAATTCGGCCTTTAATATAATTTGCTCCGAAGATCGGCTGCTCAAGTTCCACTTCTCTCATCAGTAAAAATGGAAAAGAAAATGACTGCATTTGGTCTTTGTGGTCTTGGCTGTTAAAAATAACTCTGTGTGTTGTTAGATAAATCCTGCCTTTCTTTTTTCCTTTCATATGCACAATGGAAGGTGGCCCTTCAAATGTCATCACAATTCCATCATAGTAGATTAATATTCTTTCACCAGAGTAGATCAAAACTCCTCCTTGAGCATGAGAGCTGTTCAGTGACATCTTTTTAAACTTATAATACTAGCAAGGCAATTTATGGCTCAGTTTACTAATAACAGTCATATGCTAATGTTCGTATAGTAATGTAATCTATATGTTACGTCTCAGTAAGATCGAGAATCTAGATATTTGTGATACGCCGATTCGGCTCGTATATCTACTCTATAAAGTTCATTTTTGTATGTATGACGTGGATTATTAAAGTATAAGAAAAACCGATACTTCCATTGTGTCAAGTGTTTAATCTCTAAAGTGCTCATTGTCTAAATTTATGAGTTAAAAAAATAATATTGAAAGTAATTTAAAACAGTTTTCATTTTACATACTTAGAATAATAATTTTCAATATGAACATTACATAAAATTAAAAAAAAATTTAACGATGTTTATAAAATTTCTAATTGTGTCTGAAAATTATTTGCATTTAGTCCTTTAGCGCTCATTACGTCCCTTGATTAGGAAAACACAGTTACTTCCCTTTAAAAACATTATTTCGGGGGGGGGGGGGAGAATTTACTTTTCATTACTTTGTTTTGGTGTTAGGAAAAAAAATTACATAATTAGTTGGAATCGATTAAGTGCAATTTTATTGGTATTTTTAATAAGTATTGTAATCGTGCAAAAAAATCTCTTGAAATTTTAACAATTTACACCGTATTACGGTAAACGGAAAAAAAGTTACAGGAAAAAAAAAACACAGAAAAAAAAGTCACAGATTTTGCTAGGAAAAAAAGTCACAGAAAAAAAGTCACAGTGGAAAAATTTTATCGGAAAAAAGTCACAGTAATAAAGTCACAGAAAAAAAGTCACAAAAATCTTTTTAGAAATATTTTTATTAATTTGTTAAGAATTGTAAAATTTTTTATGTTTATTGTTGTGGGTTGTATTTTTTGATAGCATAAATTATTTATAGACGTTAAAAGCATTATGATTTATAACAATTGTAAGTAAAAAATACTCTAAGATAATTAACACAACAATCTCAACTTTTGTTACGTATTTAGTTAAATACGCGGTAGAAAAGTTAATTATAAAAGAAATTTAGGCACATTTTGCCGTAGGCTATTCTCTGGTCGGCCTCTCCTCAGTAGGCATTGTCCGAATATATTTTGTGTTGTTGGCGTTATGCGTCAATGACAGCCTTTGAACCTTGTCGGCTTTCTGTTTTGATCCTAAGTTTTGTTACATAATGAGCGTGTTAATGTGGGCAGTAAAGGTGGTTGAACTAAACATAACTATTGTTGCCATGAGTTGAGGGCAGCAAGTCAGATAAACTTACCATTTTACGGTAATTTAATATTGGTATTTAAAAAAAAAACACAATGAAAAACGTGGACTTCGGATTAAAAGCTAATAATCTTAAGTTTAAAATAATTACAATCTACATACTTCATAATAAATATCTTTAGATGAAATAAAAATTCGTATGCGTATACAGCCTACACACATTACATTACATTTAATTAATCCTAAGCAGTTGCGGAACTAGAAAAAAAGCCCCCCCCCCCATATATATATATATATATATATATATTTATATATATATATATATATATATATATATATATATATATATATATATATATATATATATATATATATATATATATATATATTGTTACGATCCCATGGGGGGGGGGGGAATCTTACTTTTTTGGACATGGTTGAACGTGGGTTAATTAGGGTGTCACCTAGAGATTTATGGATGGGGAGAACTCTCGACGTGAACCCCCTTTTTCGTGATCGGGCCAGGCCGTAATGAGAGATGACACGGACTGGCGCAGGTCGTGAAAGAGACAAAGGGTGGGATGTTATTGTTGATGCTAGCGGGTAAACCCCCCCCCCCCCCCCCTCCTTCTCACCTGAATCGCCTGGCCTGGTATGTAAATGTGGGGAAAAGCCGTACGAGAGGTTAAGTCAGGACATAGACCCCTGCACCTCGACTGGAGGGGTAGACGGCAGACTGGGGACACTCAGGGAGACTCACAAGTCACTCACACGCGGAGACGGACTCGGATAGCTAGGTCTAGAGGAGACAGACATGGGGCGTCTCTGTGAGCTAGTGGACAGCCAAGAGATGCCTGTACTGTAGTAGACCTAGGCTAGTTAGACAGTTAGGGACAAGTAGGGTAGTCGTACTAAGAACTTTAGTTGTTGTAGCTAGTTGTGTATATTTCTGATTGTTGTACTTCGGTGGCGGGTTAACTTTAAGTGTTGTAATTTGTGGAAATAAATAGAGATCACTGAAGTTGGCATTTATCTATTTTTATTTTTCTGCTTCTTGTTTACGATTCCCTAACTAGTTCGAAAGGATTAGAGAAGGGGGTCGGACGGACGGAGGGACGGACGGAGGGACGGACGGAGGGACGGAGGGACGGACGGACGGACGGACGGACGGACGGACAGAGAGACAGAGAGACAGAGAGACAGAGAGACAGAGAGACAGAGAGACAGAGAGACAGAGAGACAGAGAGACAGAGAGACAGAGAGACAGAGAGACAGAGAGACAGACAGACAGACAGACAGACAGACAGACAGACAGACAGACAGACAGACAGACAGACAGACAGACAGACAGACAGACAGACACACAGACAGACAGACAGACAGACAGACAGACAGACAGACAGACAGACAGACAGACAGACAGACAGACAGACAGACAGACAGACAGACAGACAGATAGATAGATAGATAGATAGATATACATGTACATATATACGATCACAAAATACGAACATGGGATGCTCATTGCTGGCCTGTTAGGGATTTGAATAACATCAATTTAAAAAATTACAACATCATGTCATGTGTGTTAGCGCATTAGTGTGTTTTGTGAATATCAGTTTTAATTAATGTCTGATAGAAGACCCTTTATCATATAGTTGGTCTAAACTAATATAAATCATGAAAGCTTTGTATAAGTAATGGTGTTTCGTGTTATGTTTATTTTTTTATTTTTTTTTTGTATTTATATTATTAATTTTTAAAATATTATTTTTGCTTATCTTTGATAAGTTTAATTGTAGGAGAAAGACTCGGCTTTCACAGTGGTTTAAAAACAAAGGGAAAAAGAATATACAAGAGCGTGGGGTGGTGTCTATAAAATAAAGATAATCCAACCGCAGCTACGTTAATTTTTTACAAAACAACGATCAAGTCAAAAATGAAAGAAAATTTACTTTTTTAACTATAAAAAAATGTATTAATGGTCGGCTCTGGGCCCCTAAATGGCGTGCCCCCCCCCCCCCGCAATTCGGGGTCTGGCGGCACTGTAGTTCCGCCCCTGATCCTAAGTTAATTTGCACTCTCTAAAATTTTAATACATAAAAGTATTAACAAATACGAGCCGACCCGCTGCGTATCATACGCCGCTATTTAGTTGTTTTTTTTCTACTTTTCAGTAATTTATAATTTGTGAATTCGACAGTACCAATGCTGCCATTGAAAATATTTGCTTAAAAACACTAACCCCCCCCCCCCCTCCACGTGAAAGCAGCCTCCTCTTAGTAACCTCCTCTCAGTTTAAAATCGTTTCAAACTAAATTATCTGCCCCTAAGAGCCGTCACCAAACCCGTCTCTATGATTGTAAAATGTAAACAGAGTGAACACCGCTCACCAGATCATGTGGGGGTGGGGTGGGGGTGGTAGTGATAGAGAGGAAGAGAGGGGACTGCAAAGGCGCGCTTGCAGCTTGTTTTCTAACTGATCCCAGAAGAGAATTATATATATAGATTATGCAAATATATATTTGTGACTTTTTTCTGTGACTTTTTTTCCTGTGACTTTCTGTGTTTTTTTCCCTGTGTTTTTTTTCCTGTGACTTTTTTTCCTACAATCAATTAATCATTAAAATTCTCAAATGTTCTTTGAAAACTTAAACGAAGCTAGCAGTAGCGTACGCAGGGGCGGAGCAGGGGAATCGGCCGCTCCCCCTCTGGCCATTTTCAGCAAAGTGGCGCCTTTTTGGAAACTTTTTAAACAATGATATTTTAAAAAAAAAATTTTTTGGTCGGCACCTCTATGTAAATCACACGATTTCTTATCATGCAGCAATTAAGCATTATTGTACTAGTCTAGTAGTGTCTACGTTTACAACACGTATTAACAGCTGCATCAGTTTGCCATTCTAAAAATAACCATTATGGTGCATTGGAATTTTTAAAAATCATCTACCGGTAGTACAACTTGGCAAGAGGGGTGTTAAGTTTAAGGCAAATGTATAATGTATTTGCTTACGAATAATTGCATTAGAAAATGTTATACATAAAACTTCACACATAATTACTTTATATATACAGTTTGAATCGTGTGCTTAATTTTTTTGAAAATTACAATACAGAACTAATACAACTGATGTGGCACCTCTATTTAAATTTACTTATGAGCAAACTGCGTAGTGGTGGGGAAATTTTGACAAGGCCAACAACGTCATCACGATGAAATAGTAGTATTATGACAGTTTGGGCGATAGTGATTACGATTACAAATTATATGAAACAGTTACAACCCCCTCCCCCATGGACACCTCTGTAAAAAAAAATATTGTCATAATACCACTGCTACTCATTTAAATCTATTTCTGAATCAGAATACATGTGTAATATATATGTATGTTTAGAACAGTCATCTAAAAACTGATGCTATGTTCACTCTGAGTTGGTTATCTCTCTCCCCCCCCCCCCCCCCCCATACACCTCACCACCAAAATTGTGTAAAGCGACATTAATGTCACACCTAAGTATACACTGGGTTGGATAATTGACCTAAAGTGACCGGACAGTATAAAGGTGTGTGAGCAAAACAGTGTTTCTAAACAATACCTATAACTATGTTAAAAATGATCTTTAAGGAACACAAAGAAGCAGTAGTTAGAAAATATATGATCTGAACTAAAAGATTGATATGTCGTTACACGTAGGCTGTTATTCCGATTGTTTTTCTATTACATCGAAAAGCGATGTTAATCCGAATGTTCTTCTATTATATCGAAAAACGTGCTTTTATATCAACACTGATTTCAAAAACTTTCATTCAGCTGTAATACTTTAGCATTTATGATGACGATATATTTAATTCTGATTATAGACAAAAACATTTTGTTAACTCGAATAGTGTTAAACAATTTCATTATATTCTAAAGTAATTATTTATTTGTTTCGACATTTATAATTAAATGTGTAGATATATACATATTTATATTAAGAGAGTGATTATTTCCCCTATTTCACTTGTCTTAAATAATTTCCCAGGAATTATTAATAATATGTACGAAATTTTTTTACAAGAATTACAAAACAGATTGTGTTACGTTCATTGTTTTTGTTTGTAGTGTGTGTATATTTTGTTTGTGTTTTTTTTTTTTTAGATTGATACAATTTTTGTTTTGTCGGCCTACATTGTGTGTTTTTTCTTATTTCTTCAGAGTGCTACTTTCAATTTATTTTACATCATAGCGAAGTAATGACATACAGCTAGTTATTATATATATATATATATATATATATATATATATATATATATATATATATATATATATATATATATAGAACGTGTTAAAAATTCGGCGCCTTTTTTTGCTCTTTTCGCTCCCCCTACAACGAAAACCTGGATACGCCTCTGGAAGCTAGGCAGTGGGCCTTACCCTATGCCTTGTCAATCATACAACTTAAAGGGGAGCTAAGCCTGCTACTACTAATAGTAATAGTCTATCGGTAGAGATGACATCACGAGTTTTTTAATGCCAGATAAAATTGTATTTAAGTTAACAAAACAGCAATGAGTAAAAATTTATAAAACTCTAGCTAATCCAACAGGAGCACAGAAATTACCTATAACAAAAGTTTACTATTATCATTACTATAATAGTTTGCCCCCTCCCCACCAGGAGAAATACTCGGGATCCATGTAAACTCTTTAGTTTGAAGAGGGTGCTTTCAACGCCATCGCAGTAAATTCACGGTGCTAAATCTATAGTCTCTCAGCCTAGGTTAATGTAATGAATTCACTGTGTATATCACTATTGCCTTACTATAATACCAACCACCAGTCTTTACTCTTTTGTCTATACTATTTTTTAATGGAAGGTTGTTATCTATTAATTTATTTATCGATACAACAAAACGGAACGTTTAATCTAAAAATTTAGCTACTTTTATCTTTCCTTATTTGCCAATGTGGCAATGATGATGCTTTCGTGTATTACCACCCACTTCCCAGTTTTCATACTGTATTGGTGTGTAACGCCTCTCGTCAATGCGCAAGAATATATTATCTCAATATAACAAAATAGTTCTATGATTGTTTTGTTAAAAAACTGCTATAATTTTTTTGTCTTCTTTACATTTACTGTTGTTTGAAATAAATTAGTGTCAAATGCTAAAAGTGCTTTTAAGAAGCGGTTACGAAATCAAGATTTTGATATTTCAAGCGAAGTAGCACTAGTTCCTTTTACACCACCGGTGCCAGCCATCTTGGTGATAACAGTGTGACGGTCGGTGTAAGGGAAATCACATACTTGACTTTTTCGTTTGACGAGACATTACATTTCGTCTGGTGTCGTTGAAAAACTAATTTGGCTTTACGCCATGTCGACGGTTCTACCGATTAGGTTTCAGGAGCATGTACAGGTAAAATAGATAACTCAAACTGGTTAAATGTACAGTAAGATTTAATTTTTTGGTAATCTATCGTTTTGGGTACGTAAAATCGCCCGCGACTAGTAATGTGAAAAACAGGTGACTCCTTACATTTTAATGATTATTTCACATTTTGAGGAGGATTTATGTTTTGAAAAATACAAAAATGTTTCCTTGTTTCATTTATGTACCTGTATTTAAACAATTGAATTAAAACTTTTGACTAATAAATGAACACCAGCGATGTTTCCAACAGATGCAACCATGCTCATTTACTATAGCAGCCATCTTGTTAAAGTTTTATTTTTATAGACTTAGCGCGAGATTCAGGCGGAAGTCACTCTATTTTACAAATGGCTGCTGTTTATATAGCAAATCTTGCTTGCAGACACTGCTGTTTAAAGTTAATTTCTGGCCTATATTGATATATTTAGCCATTGATTTAGGTTTATTATTCATTTATCTATAATATTTGACACAAACATATCACAATATAGTTCTATTACAGCCTTGATAATGAGGTAACGTTTTCGTACATTAATAGCCGCGGGCGATTTTACGTACCCAAAACGATAGATTACCAATTTTTTTTAGTAATCAGATGACCACAGAAAGTAACTAAACACGCCCCTTCTCTGGACTTGTCATCAGATGGGCAAAAAAATAAAGTGTCCCACCTAAACACATTACCATATAGATTCTAGATCTAGTCTGGATGATTGATCAATGACAATTAGGCTACATCATTCATTTGTCATATTTCATAACTTAACTAGATCTAGTCTAATCTAGATTCTAGACTAGAATCTATCCAAATCTGTAGTGACTGGGGGGGGGGGGGGGGGGGGGGGGCTGTAGGCAGTGAAAGTCAAAGTGAAAATAATATCAATCAAAATAGGCCTAATTTATTTATCATAAAAGTATTAGTAGGCCTAATCCACTTTTTATTAGTGAACAGTTTCGATTTAGCATATTCTAAATTAACTTTCTGTCCAGGGTCATTTTTACCAAAAAAAATACAACCAAAGTGGGTTATCCTTCAACACTTTTGCTAAAACATACTTCAGTACTTGACATGTGACCTATTGTTTGCTTTTATGTTTTAGTAAAAATGTTCTTAACCATGCCCAAATATGTAATAAAAATTTGAAAATTAATTTAAATCACTGTTGTAAAGTGTGATAAATTAAATACATTAGTAAATACACGCCTTCTTGAGGGGGCGTGGCATATTGCAATTTAAACTAAGTTTTATAGCAATATTTGTACAGCATACAGAATAGGATTTGCAAGTAGGACATCAACTTCTTGTACTTGCCAGCTAGTATTTTTGAAACCGAATGTGAATATTTTAATTAAATCAGTGAAAGAAATAACAGAAATGTTACTTCTGCTATTATTTAAAATCATGAACAATGAAAACTACAAAAGTGTAGGCTAGCTTAAAGAAGTAGGCCTATGTAAACTACATTATATTGTGATTTTTTTTTTTCTTCAAGATACGTACAATTAGTTATTTGAGTCCATAACAAGTCCTAAATGTTGTTACAAAATTAATACAGTATTAATAGTCTGGGCCTACCGTTACTTAATTTGATTCTATTATTAGTAAAAAATTTATAATTGTTGCCAAACAACAAACAGCTGGCATGTGTTTTCTTATCAATGGAAATCCTGTTCACAGCAATTAAGTTGTTTTTAGTATAAAAATTTAGTATATGATGTTAAAATTTCACGTGATTTTTGTGCACGATTACAATACTTCCTCTTTACTCTGTATACAAGAAAGTAATAATATAAGTTTTTAATTAAGGCTTATTTTGGCATGTGACTGACTACAAAACAATGAGTAAAGCAAGCTTATTATTTTTTTTTTTTCTGGACAATAGCCTTTCCTGCCAAATGTGCTGTCTTGTAGAGCACGACATTACCTCACAGATGAATTTCTCAGAGTAAAAAAAAACATGAAAATACCCCATGCCAATTACCAATTTACCTTAAAAGGTTAGGACAAGGATAGAAGTAGGGTTAGGATAAGTGGCAGGGTAACAAATATGGAGTAAGCTTATTCTACACTTATCAGATTTCCAGGTTTCATACTCAATAGAATTACAAGAGTACAAACTACAAATAATTTTGTACTTGGTCAGCCTATTCAGGTATTCTAAAAAAACAATGCCTCTGAAAAAACTTAAAGTAAATACAAATGAATAATGGCCACTCCAGATATATGATGACCTAGATTTATGATCCCTTTCAGAATATTGTGAAAATTAGTTAGTCATTAAATAACTCCAATGGATCAGTGAACAGTAAAACCTACACTATCTGTGCATACACAGTAACTGCTTATTTAGAGCCGCTGTGTGGAACAAGAATTAATGCCGATCAGCCAGAAATTTGTTTCTTCCTCATTGTTAGTTTTGAAAGTAGAGTAATGCTAATAATTTTTTATTAAAAAACTAAATTGAAATCACTGTTAGTTTGAATTGATCTTTTATCTTACAGCTCCAAAGTGTTGGTATCAATGCTGCCAATATAGGATTTAGCACTCTGACCATGGAGTCAGATAAGTTCATCTGTGTCAGAGAAAAAGTAGGTGAAACAGCCCAAGTAGTAATAATTGATATGAATGACCCTACAAATCCAATTCGTCGTCAAATTTCAGCAGACTCGGCTATCATGAACCCAACTAGTAAAGTCATTGCATTAAAAGGTAGGTTGTCTGAATGCAATGTACATTTTTTCAGTTTAGGCCTACATAACTGTAATGTTCTTAGATTCTCTTTACTTTGCTTTACCTTGTTTTTGTGATGATCTTCACAAAACAATTTCTTCATGTTTAATTTTTAACCCCAAGCGCAATAAATTTAAAGAATTATATTGATTATTGCAGTTAGCAGTACATGTTGTTTTTACACCTGTCTCTGGTGACATTTTTTGACATTCAACCCCTCTTGTTATTGTGAAAAATATTCGGTTAAAGTAATTTGAATGTTAACCCTTTTTGCATTTGGAATAAGCCATACAAATTTATTTTTACAGCTGGAAAGACCCTACAGATTTTCAATATTGAAATGAAGAGCAAAATGAAAGCCCATACAATGACAGAAGATGTAATCTTTTGGAAATGGATTTCTGTTAACATGATCGGACTTGTCACTGAAGCAGCAGTTTACCATTGGGCTATGGAAGGTAGATGTTTATGTTAGATGTTGTAACTCTGTAATGGTATAAACTCAAAAAATGTAATTGTAGCAAATATCCACTGACATGTTTTTTCAAATGCCACAGGATCATTGTGAGCAAAGCTAATTTATGACATAAGTTGTAGCCAAATTATGTGTGCAGGCTCCTTCTCTATTACAATTGAAAGGGTTCTCACAGAGCATGAAAAAAACAAGAATTTTAAGATAAAATTCCCGGCTTTCCAACCTGACGAATAGCTGGTAAAGTTTTATAATAGCCGGGAATTTTATTTATCCCCAAACATTACGAGATTTGGACTAGACATGAGCCTAGTCTAATATAGTCTGGCCTGTTCACATGGTTCAGAGTTAATCACCCACAATTTGGGTTTGTTAGTACAATTTCAGATTTTTTTCAGATTATTCCGTACTGGGTTAGCAAAATTTGAGCCAGATTGGAAGTTAGAAAACAAAACAAGACTTTTTGACATAATTCTAGAAATAGTTTTTAGTATTAAGACCCCGGAACCTTTTTACCGTTGATCGGTTTTCCACCAATCGCGCAACGATATATGGTTCATCTACTGATTTGCTAGCTTAGGGTTACTCAACTTTGGTGTGACGTCATTTTTTTTTCAGGGTCTAAAAAATTACGTTTTGGGATTTAATCTTAATTTATGATTCACTTTAAAAAAAATAGCATCCCTTAAAAAATGTGTTCTTTTTTGTGGTTTAATTAAATTTAATTTGGCAAACTTATGTTCAATGCAGACATGTCTACCATCCCGCCAAAATCGGAATTGTTCCGCTTTTTTTTTTACAAAAAAATCGTGTCTTGTTCCGCCATCCCGTTAATTTTTTTTAAAAAAAATAATCAATAATGGTAAAGAAAAATCGAATTGAAAAAAAGAGCATGGAAAAGCGATTATCTCCCTTTGGCACAAGTTTCCGTTTCCTAGTTTACTTACAATATTTACAAGTATCACCTAATACTAGATCTAGATCTTCTAAACGTTCTTTTTAGTATTTTCAATTGAATTGTAGATTTAAATTATGCCTTAAATAACATGTAGTGGGAAAAATACAATCAAATCATGACTACCATGCTAATTTCTAGATCTAGTACTAGAATATTAGATTGTGTAGGTAACCGATCTGGATTCTAATATCTTGAAAAAGTTGTAACTACTACTAAGATTAAGAAGTTAGTAAGAAGTAACTACGACTATTACTAGGTAGATCTGGGTCTTAACTCTTAAATTATATTTTATATCACATACGAAGCCTTCAGTATTTGTTGGTCATTTAGCCTAGAACATAGCAAGGCAGGAATAATTAAATTAATAATGTTATGTCAAAGCTTTGGTTTTTATTAGGGGGGTGGGGTCTCAGGTTACTGGTTAACTTTTAAAAAAAATGTAAGCTGTCGTTAGGTAGGTTAGTTTTGCCGGTCGTCCCTCTTGGGACATACGCCGCTGACAATAGCTTTCCAGGCGTCTCTGTCCTGGGCTAGTCTCTCCAACTGTCCCCAGGTGTATCCAATCTTCTTGGTGTCTTCTTCCAGGTCATGTTCTTGGTCTGCCTCTACTCCTCCTGCCTTGTGGATTAATAATGGTGGTCAACCTGGTAGTTTCCAATACATATTGGCTTTCACCACCCGGCTTCATAAATTCTCCATCGGGAGATCCATTCTTCCCCTGGTCCGAGCTGTCAGTATTTCTCTTTGTCTGCGTTTCTGTAGCGAGTAATTAGTTTTACGATATAAGGTTGCTGACCTTACGCTCAATCCCCAACCTTGAGGACCGGGGTGCTAGCTTTTATCTGACCCTACCCGCGCAGACCTTCCCAGCTTGGTTGAACCTGCCAGGAGTTAACACTCCCGCTGGTATAGCTCTGGGGGTCGTCTTGAGTACACAAGCTGCCAAGCCACGACAAGGCCCTAGCACCCAGACATGCCTACCGTCCCGCCAAAATCGGAACCGTCCCGCTTTTTCACCTAAAAAAGTAATTTGTTCCGCCATTCCGAAATTGACTCAGTTGGTTCCGATTTTTTGGAAAAAAAAATTAATAAAGAAAGGTAATCAAGTAAATTAAAAAAAATGTCAGGAAAAAGTGGTTATCTCCCTTTGGCACACGTTTGTTTCCTAGTTTACTTACAATATTTACCAGTATCATCTAATACTAGATCTAGTTGCTAGTATATCTACTACTACTAGATCTAGAATTGTAACTAGATCTACTAGTAGATACTGAAATAGTGAATACTGATCTATCTTGTAAGTTTAACTTAACCAGTAACTACTATTATGAAGAACTTAGTAAGAAGTAACTAGGAGTTTTACTAGGTAGATCAAGGGTCATTGCTCGTAACTTATATATTACATACGATAAAGCCTTCAGCATTTATTAATCATATAGCCTAGAGCATAGCAAGACAAATATTCAAATCAATAATGTTATGTCAAAGCTATGATTTTTTATTCGGGGGGGAGGGGGGTTTACTGGTTAATTTATTTTTTTAAATGTAAGCTGACATTAAGCAGTATTTAAATGTATCCTAGAGACTAGTGATATAGGACTAGAAGCCTACTAATGTCATTAGAGTAATTTTTAATTAATTATTTTTATTTTTGACTTAGTAAAGTTGCATCCGCGCGCATGTTCCTCTTTTTGGCTTCAAATTCCTCTTTTTAGGCATAACTGTTCCTACTTTGGGCTGACAGGGGTAGGCATGTCTGCCCTAGCACCAGATGATAGTAAGCTGTCATTAAGCAGTATTTAAATGTAGCCTAGAGACTAGTTTTATTTCTATATAACTAGAAGTAGTAGAAGCTATTAATTACTAATGCCATTAGACTAATTTTTAATTTTATTTAGTAGCGTCAGCGCTATGTTCCTCTTTTTGCTTCAAATTCCTCATTTTAGGCATGAATTCCTACTTTTGGCTGACTGGAGTAGGCTTGTCTGCCATTGGTTATGCGCGTTGAAATTTATATGAAAATAGCAGGGGATTTCTACTTAGAATAGCAGGGAATTTCTTAGAATAGCAGGGAATTATCTGTTTGAAAAATTGTGAGAACCCCGAATGAGTTACAATAGCGTTAACAATAAGATTTTGATTTGAGAACAATACTTTACGATACCTACATTCTTGATACTTTCATTTACTTGTATATTTTATTTAATTGCTAAAAACAAGAAGACATGGACTATTCTCTGCTTTTTTTTTTCGGGATTGGCTTCCATAGCCTTTATCCAACCAAGATCACTATGCAAGGCAGCATTTATTTGAGTTCAGAATTTGGAATGTCACTTCTAGGTGGGTTGCTGTCCACAACACATGAGCCTCATTTGTCTTGGCGTTTGAACTCTGGATTTGTGAAGTTAGCTGATCCCACAGTCCCCCCCTGAGATATTCTATTATTTCACTAGTTTTTAAAATCTGGTCACAACTTGAATCTGATTATGATCTAGCCCTTTATTTGAAAGAGCACTCAACTGAGAAACAAAAGGCATCAATGATGAGTGAAAACAGAACAAGAAAGAATACATTTGAAACAAAATACATTTCTAAATAGTAAAGCAAACATCAGATTGTACTAGAAAGCATAATTAATAGCTTTTGATTTGTACACTCGTAATTTTGTTCTGGTTAAAAAAAAATTTCATTAGTAAAAGTTTGAATGAATAAATGCCTGATATAATGAAATATATTAACCTTATGTTTTAAAAAAATATCCAAATAGGTGATTCTCAACCACAGAAAGTGTTTGAAAGGCACACAAATCTTAATGGATGTCAAATCATCAACTACAGGACTGATGCTGCACAGCAGTGGTTATTACTTGTTGGCATCTCAGCACAGGTCTTGAAAAAAACTTTATCAAATATTGTTTTCAACAGTTTGAATTATTACTCTACTTATTTATAGAATAAGTTGCAAATGTGTATATTTACTTGATGTTTATTCCTTTAAGCAAAATCGTGTTGTGGGAGCAATGCAGTTGTACTCTGTGGAAAGAAAAGTTAGTCAGCCTATTGAAGGCCATGCTGCTGCATTTGCATCTTTTAAGGCTGAAGGAAATCCCTTGCCATCTACCCTTTTTATATTTGCTGTTCGTGGTGCCCAGGGTGGAAAGGTTTGTTTCACAGTCTTTTTAAACCACAGTTTTTATGATGCTAACATTGTTTATTTATCGCTAACAAGCAATTTAATCTTGACAGCTTCATCTGATTGAAGTAGGAACCCCACCAGCTGGTAATCAACCATTTACAAAAAAAGCTGTGGATGTTTTTTTCCCTGTTGAGGCACAAAATGATTTTCCTGTTGCAATGCAGGTGTGAATAGCTATTTTTTCACTAGAACCTTTTCTAACTTTAAGTTTGTATTAAAACATTTTTTATTTAAGCAATACTATTTTTTATTGTTATAATTCTCAGCAATTTTTAAAAACATTTTCAGACAAGTAACAAACATGGTGTTGTTTTTCTGGTTACAAAATATGGCTACATTCACATGTATGATGTCGAAACAGGCACATGCATTTACATGAACAGAATTAGTGCTGACACTATTTTTGTAACTGCACCTCATGAAGCTACAGATGGTATCATTGGTGTGAACAGAAAAGGGCAGGTTAGTTTGCTTGTTATAATCACCTGATTTTACTCTGGTCAGAACATTTAAAATCTTTTAATGGTGGTACTGACTTTGAATAGTATAAGGCTAAGTTTCTCAAAATAAGTTGTGGCATGGTCTTGCACCTATAGTAATTATGGACCTTCATATTTAAGTGTAAACTCAATTGTCATTTAATAATGTTCAGTAACGTGGCATCTGCTTCTACTTTTGAATAACAACTTCTGGGTTTAGAAAGTTCTAAAAAAAAAAGCCAATTCCTTTCATTGTTTGGGCTTGTATTGTGTCTGCGTGTATATATGGACAGGTATATTTCATTCCCGTTTCTGTATATTTTAATTTAAAAAAAAAAAAAGCCGCCTCTCTTTCTAAAATCTATAGAAACAAATATTGCTAAGATTTTCCGATCATACAAACAAAGTTGCTTTGACATTAAGTAACTAGCTCACACATTGTTTAACCCCATCGAGGGGTTGTCCACAGGAAGTTTGTTGACTTGGGATTTGATCTCAGGTGATTTGACCATATGCTTGCGCCTCTATCAACACCTACATATCTATTACACTTAAACCTACCCCGACACTTACACCAACACCTAAGCCTTCCACCGACCCATCCACAGACTGGCCTTCCTATCTGTTTGTCCGTACATTTAAGTACTATGTAAATACTATTTATTAATGGAATAACAATAGACTTGAAAAGCTGGTTCCAAATGGTTCCAAATTTTTGTTGCCAGAAAGCATATTTTTTAACCAAAATTTAATTTTTTATAACATTTGTGTTATAAGTACAAATTACTTTCGGTTTAATTAAAGCTAGAAATAGTCAAACTAATAATTATTAGTTATATACAGTGGCATAGCTAGGATTTTCGGGCCCCTATGCAAACATTATTGGGCCCCTACGTCAATTTGTAAATTGTGAATTTTATACGTCCTAATTGTGTATTTGTACGGTTTTATTATGTAGTACACCGTAACGTAAAATACCCTTGATTTTAGATCTCTTTTATGTAAAAACAAACTAATTAACTGTAAGCCTGTAAATTTTAAGTAACTTATAACATTTAAGTTGCCTTACATGACACAGTAGCATTAATGGGCAGGGTCCTCACAATTTAGGCGTGACACCATGACGGAAACTCGTAAAATTTACTGTCAAAACTGTTTTATTCAGTTAAAGTAATACAATATTAAGGAGAGGGGATAACACTCCACCAGAAATGCACCGGAAGTGACACTCACTAAACACACCGGGTGATATCCAACCTTGTGACGCCACTAACCAAATACAAATTTTTAAAAGTCGCTCATGATTTATTTAGATTTTTTTTTTCTTTCTTATAAGTTTGCAAAGTGATTAATATGTTCCTTGAAGTCCATTTTAGCTGCTTATGTATGTTTGATACTTAGTTTGGCTAAGTTACTGACCCAAAGGGCATACAACATGTTTCATAACATCATAATATTGGAGAGACTCTGGGCGCCTAATGTATACTACTGCCGAGGTGGCTGGAGGACACCCTTTATTTTCTTTAGCCATTGACTATAGTAGCCCTCCGTATCCCTAGGGCATGGCGCTCATTAAAACAAGTGTATGCGCCGTAGTGCTCTCGGGGGGAGCCCGGGGCGTTGGCTGATGCACCTGTGCAGTTAGACCGTTGATTTAAGCAGTAACCCTGACCCCTTGTGCAGGACACCCAATTAACTGACCCCAGGTGCTAAGAATGGTGCTGGGAAACTCTGGGTGGCAAACCGAACGAAAAAAAAAAAATTAATGGCAGAAAACTTTGCAGGAGCCAGAGTTTCTTTCTGGCTTCTTTTCGAGGGGAAGGCACTGCTCCTCATGTATGGGGTTGTGGTAGGAAATTTCATGGTAAGTAGATGTTTGTCTGAACTATTGTAAACGACTTCCCAATGTTTCTTTTGTGATTGGATCATTTTTGTATTAATGCATAAAGGACAATGAGACAGACAAACAAAGATCTTAAAGTAGGGGCATATCGATTAAAGATAACTTGGATCAACTAATTGTGATTAAGGTTAAAACTAGCACAAAAACATTTACACATTTTCAAATTAGCTTGTTGTGAAAACACTCTCCACAGCTGTTAACCAAAAAATTCAATTGTAATCATGGATGGATGGAATTTCATTGGGGACAGAGTTGAGAGGGGAATGACGTGCAGGTTTGTGGCGGTGGAGTAAAGACTTTTTAGCTATGCGTATAAATTTGCAGGTGCCGGATGCCAATCTCACAAAATAGTCAATGTTCAATTTTATGTATAGGCTAATTCTCTCAACGGCTTGCCAGACAATGAAACAATGCCTATAGTGTTAGTAATACTGCTGAGCCCTGTAAAACCCCTCCCCAGTAAGAAATGTCTGGGGGCCTTTTTTTGGAACTTTTGATCATTTCTACAGTAGAAAAGAAACTGAATTTCCTTTTTCTTTTTGAAATTATTTTTATAATACAAATATTAAAATTCCAATGTAAAAGTTTTTAAGAAATTAAAGAGTGAAAAGGGCCCCTATTTGCCTTGGGCCTCTATGCCTTGCTTACGTTAGCTTTACGGTAGCTACGCCACTGGTAATATAGTTATTTAGCTAACACTTTTAATTTGGACAAGTAGAGAAAGGGTGTTGTGGTGATTGGGGATGTTATATTATTTAAAATAAAAACAATACTACGCTATACACCATAGATCAATATTGTGTATTTTTATCATGGAAAACAATTGTTCTGGCTTGTATTGTTTTACTCCTGTTGACTTCAAATAGGGGTTGAGGACAGTTTCTGAAAATATTTGAATTCATAAAATAATTCTAAACTGCTTTTCAATACAAAGATATAAAAATGAGTGTAATCAATGATTCCCAAACAGCTTTAATTTTTACAAATGTAACTATAATTTTATTGCTTGCTATATTTTTAAAAAGATTGTTTTAAAAATGTAATATGATTACATAGACTTTTCACGTTTATATTTTCATTAACTAAAAGAGATGTGCAATAATAGAACTCAAATATTTCAGTGCATTTATAAAAATATACAAAAATGGGAATGAAATATATCTGTATATTCTTACAAACACTCATAAGCACGCAAACACAGTGATAATCCTCATTGTTGAGCAATCTGTGTGGAATTTTCTGTGTGTGCTGTTTTTTAATAGCACATTTTCTGTTTGCTGAAATTTGCGCATTTTTCATTGATCATTTTTACTTTCTCGTATATAAGAAGTATAGAGAAAGTCTTGTAATTGTGCCAAAAAAAAATCAAGAGACGTTATACAGCTCCCTGAGTCGGAAAAACATAGTTTTGCAATCTTGTCCGTATGTCTGTGTGTCTGTAAACACGATAACTTGAGTACCATTACAGCTAGGTTGATGAAATTTCATTTATAAGTATTATATCATAATCGTAGATCCGTATCAACTTTTGATTGATTTCCGATAACTGGAAGTGGAACTTTTTCTACTTTCAATTTTTATTCTATTTTAAAAAGTTTAAGTAATTAAAATGGATTAAAATTCATGTCTATATCCTGAGTTGCCACTCCCTGTTGTTTCATATAAGAATATTCGAGAAAGATTAGGGGAGATCACTCCCTGTTTATTTCCATTTGTGTCACCTTATTTTAGGTTAAGATAGTGAAAGTTAGAAATGGTTTGCAAATATGAATTGAAACACAGTAGTAAAGTAAATAACAAGTTTGTGGGGAAAAAAGTTATTAAAGAAGTGTTAGCAAATCATCAAATCATAAGTAAGGAAATAGTTACAATTTAAAAATAATTTTTAGTGAAACTTGTCATTTGATAGCTATATAATAATAGGTCATATTTAGTGTTTTAATGGTACAAGATAACAGGAATTTGATAAATGTAAATGAGCAGGAAAAGACCTCTAAATACTTCATTAGTTTATCTTTTTACTAATTGGTCTCATCAATGTATGTTGCAATACTGATGTTAAAGTATTTAATGCCTGGACCTCCTTCCGTAAGAATTTTTAAAACTGTTGCACAGTAATTTGCTTAGTCTAAAAAGTTTTAAAAATGTTCTCAGGTACTATCTGTCAGTGTGGAGGAAGAAAATATTGTTCAGTATATAAACAGCCAACTGCAAAATCCAGACTTGGCCCTTAAAATATCATCACGGTGCAATCTGCCTGGTGCTGAAGACTTGTTTGTGTCTAAATTCAACAGTCTTTTTCAAGCTGGAAATTACATGGAGGCAGCAAAAGTTGCTGCCAGTGCCCCAAAGGCAAGACATTCTGAACTGTTTTACATAGTTATTTCTAACGTTCTCTCCTGAAAAGCTAATAATTGTTGGCTGCTCATTTTCAGGGCATCTTGCGAACGCCTCAGACTATTCAAAGATTTCAACAAGTACCTGCTATCCAAGGCTCAACTTCACCCCTTCTGCAGTACTTTGGAATACTTTTGGATAAAGGACAGCTCAACAAGTATGAATCACTTGAGCTGTGTCGGCCGGTGTTACAACAAGGACGTAAGCAGCTTATTGAGAAGTGGTTAAAAGAGGAAAAGGTAATTTCCTTACAGCAGTTGGCAGTACCAAACATTCCTACATGCAATCTCTTCTCTTTTATTCATTTTACATTTGACCTTTTCAGCTGGAATGTAGTGAAGAACTTGGAGATATTGTTAAAACTACTGACCCAACACTCTCTTTGTCTGTTTACTTGAGAGCTAATGTCCCTCAAAAAGTAAGCTCACAATTTTAAAGTTATAATTATAATTTTGATTATGATCATTCCTTTAAACATGCATTCACCTTTAAATCAAATTCTGCAGGTTATTCAGTGTTTTGCTGAAACTGGACAGTTCCAAAAAATCATTCTGTACTCCAAAAAAGTAGGTTTTACACCAGACTATGTGTTTTTATTGCGCAACTTGATGCGCATTAACCCAGAACAAGGCTTACAGTTTGCTCAAATGATGGTTCAAGATGATGAGCCTCTGGCAGATTTGAATCAGGTAAAAAAGGTTTTTGCCCTTTCTATACGTAAATTATCATTGTCTTTCTAGCTATAAGTATATATTCTTTCCATGAATTTAGGTTTTGTTCATTGTTGTTCGACAATCAAATTTATTGAAATATTGTAAAAGTCAATTATGTTTTCCCAAAAATCTAATTTCAGATTGTGGATATTTTTATGGAATTTAATTTGATCCAACAATGTACATCCTTCTTGTTGGATGCTCTTAAAAATAACAGACCAGCAGAAGGTCCACTGCAAACTCGGCTTCTCGAAATGAATTTAATGTCTGCTCCACAGGTACGTTGATATAAATGTTTATTAACCATCACCTAGTGAGTTCTATTTTTAAAAATGCATCAATTGCTTTACTGTAACTACTGCCATAATGTGTTTTTCAAAACGTTTCTAGCTGTTTTGGTTCTTTATTTATTAAGGTGCATTTTGTTACTAATAAATCATTTCTTTTCTTTTAGGTAGCAGATGCTATTCTTGGCAATCAGATGTTTACACACTATGACCGTGCTCACATTGCACAGCTTTGTGAAAAAGCAGGCCTTCTTCAAAGAGTTAGTTTATTTTTTCATTTCAAATATATTTTCCAGGGTTGAATTTTTTTACATTTATGTTTATTTGATACATGTTATTTTTCAACCCAACAAAAAAATTTCAGTTCAAAGACAGACCAAAATTTCTTTCAGTTTTGAGTTTCGCAAATGAACTTACATTTTATTTTCTAAAACTTTATAAAGATTTTTCTTCTTTTAGAAATGTGTAAAGGTAGCCCGACTTGAATTGATTTTTTTGATAATTTTAGGCCCTGGAACACTACACTGATTTGTATGATGTCAAGAGAGCTGTAGTCCATACCCATCTGCTTAATCCTGAAGTATGTCACTATGCTTATGTAAACTTTACATTTACTTTTGTTTATCATCCATATGTGAAGGACTTTTTTTAATGGGTTATTCAGGTTTACAGTAACTTTTTGGATTGCAGTTACAAAAGTGAGATTTTTAACAGATTATTGCATGTCATAGAAAAGACCTTATATGGTTACAAAAAAGTTAATAAGTTTGGCCATTTAAGCCTACTTGTTTACTGTAATTAATAACATACTTTCCAAGGATTGTTTTTAAAAAAATTCATAACAGAATAAATGCTGTTCACATCTATTTCATTTTTTAAAGTAAGCATTTTATTGTTAATTATGTTTTTTATTCCAGTGGCTAGTAACATATTTTGGGACTTTATCTGTGGATGACTCTCTAGAATGTCTTAAAGCTATGCTGACTGCTAATATTAGACAGAACCTCCAAGTTTGTGTGCAGATAGCTTCAAAGTATCATGAACAACTTACAACTGAGAGTCTTATTGAGCTGTTTGAGTCCTTTAAAAGCTATGAAGGTAAGTGTTTTTCAAATTACCCTTGGTTGTCATTAATTGACTTATTTTATCATTTTATCTAATTTTCAAAAAAAAAATAATTTTTCAGGTCTTTTCTACTTTCTGGGATCCATTGTCAACTTCAGTCAAGATAGTGAAGTTCATTTTAAGTACATACAGGCAGCTTGCAAAACTGGGCAAATTAAAGAAGTGGAAAGAATTTGCAGAGAAAGTAATTGTTATGATCCTGAACGAGTAAAGAACTTCTTGAAGGTAACGGAAAATCATTGTTGTCTCATTCTAAAAAATTATTCTTATCCTTTTGGCCTAAAGAATACAGGTTAGCTGAAAAATCATAGGTTAGTTTTTACTCCTAAAAACCCAAATAATGCTCCCAGTGTTAGAGAATGTTTTCTCTATTTACTCAGTTGTTTGTACAATCTAAGTCTTTTCTTCATAGGGGTCATCCATAAATGACGTTATGCTTTTTTGACAAGTGTGATGTGATTTAAGGACGACCCCCATATCTACCTCAAACTATCCATTGTTTCTTCCAGACTTTTCTCCGGGGGGGGTGGGGGGGGGGGGAAGGGCACTGTTAAAAGTATATATTTTCTATATAAAGTTCATTTAGTTTGGGGGGGGGGGGGGCGGCAGGGTTAGGGTTAGGTGCCTGGAAGAAACTATGACACTATGTGCTTGACCTTCCATTTTACACCTAAGGGTTATGGTTAGGGTTTCTCCATGTAGTTAATTTTGTATTTAGCTGAATTTTGCTTGCTGAACAGCATTTACAGCTTTACTGATAGTCCAACTGAAGCTATTTGGCATGTGACTTTTTTTTTTCTAAAACTAATTTATAAATTTAAATGTAAACAATGCCTGCGCTTGGATCATATTTATTGGGGCATGTGTTTACCTACCGCATGAAAGCCTTGAGTGTACGTTAATCACTCACCGAAGGACACAATTCGGTGACCGCCCAGGAGTCAGGGACGTAGAAGAGCCCTCTCGAGCCCACAGTTACACAACGCGTACGGTCCCTGGCTGTTAAAAACTAACGTAAGCGCCCTGGTGCTCACAGGATAACCCAGGGTGCCAAACAGCATCCTGATTGCAACATTTGCTAAAGTGACAAAATCAACAGGATGTTTTCTTTAACACGTAGAAAAAAGTATTTGACGTGTTATAAACATCAGTATGACTGATGCAATTTGTTAGCGTTACCAATTTGATGCTCGAACTCAATTTCTGATTGGATTGTCTAAAATAGATGCTAATTGCATCATTCGCAAAGTTACAAAACTGTACAGGATTTCCTCACGTTAGAAAGTTATTTTTAGAAGTGTAGCTTTTATTTTTTAGATTTGAGTTGAGAAACTTAATTTTTTTACGGAACTATTTTCATTATTTCGAGAACTGTAGGCTTTGGAATTGTTTTGATTTTTTATGGACAAAAGGAAACAACAGGGTTAACAATCTAACCTTGGTTGATTAATCAAAAAATTTTTATTACAGGGCCCTCCGCGGCCGATGTGAACCTTTAAGGGCTGAAACTGAAATTTTTTATTGCTATTGAATCGCATCCTATTAGGGCGCTGGCGACACGCCTGATTCAATTTAGTGAGGGACTGTAACGACCCATCTTGTCCATTGTCTACCGCACTGTTTAGGTAAACGTAAGCGCCATAGTGCTCGCAGGGAAGCCCGCGGCGTGGGCGCAGGCGGTTGCGCCTGTTGAAGTTTTAACGCTGAATTTAGTAGTACCTTTCCCGCTATGCAGGATGCATGATTAACAAATGCCAAGTGCTACCATAGCCGCTCTGGAATTGGTTTTTTTTTTTGCGCAGAAACCTCCCCAGTAATATTCTCAACAACTTACCAAAGTTTCATTGTGATGTGATGAAAGGTGTAGTAATAAATAAAAGACAAAAACACACACACACACAAACAAACAAACATACATTTTTTATATATAAATAGAAAGATATAATATATAGATATATTCAAGTAATATTATAAATGAATACTTATTTGATATATTGGTATTGGCACAAATATAGGCATACAAAAGAAACCTTATAATGTTTTTAAGATTCAGCTTTTATTTTAAGAAATTGAGAACATTGCTTCTATTCTTATTTTTTAAAAAAATCTTTGATTGTTTCCCCTGCTTCTTGGTGGAAACAAAATGCAGCTTTCAACCACAGCACTTTAAAAAAAAATTAATTTTAAAATAATTACTTCTGTTAAAAAAATAAAAAGCATGATACACTAAATTGGTCTGAATTTATTTTGCATGTGGTAAAATAACATAATAGTTTACTAATAATAAACTAAAATTACATCAATCCAAAAAAAAAAAACCTAATGCACTCATTCTAATATTATTTCTATTAACAAAAAAATTTGAATGATAAAAAAATTCTGGAGCTACTTACGTTTTTAAAATTACTGTATTAAGTACATCATAAATAATGCTCGACAGAACGTCTGAGGCATTTTAATTAGATTTAATTTTACTAATTGCCCATAATTTCAAGGAGTAAAAATAAACTTAAAAATCATAGAAAATGATCCATTAGTGATGAAACAAAAAGAAAACAACGTAATTAATATTTATTCGATCAGTATCTTCAAAATCGCGTTATCAATGAGACTTGTGTAAGTAAATTAGTGTACTATGCCCTACTATACAAATGTGCACCTGACAGTACCACTTACAAAAATTCTCTTGCCACCATGTTCACATAGTACTGTAAAGGGTTAACTAATATAAGAATAAATAGAGGACAAAGTTTCACTTGAAAAAAAAAAATTTAAATAAATTTCATCACAGTAGTAGAAACTTTTGCATTTTCACAAAGATAGTCTTTACATTCCAATAGTCCTTGGATTAAAATGAATGGGCAACTTATTTGGTTAACATGTTGAGGTGGTAATACCATAAACCCTTAGCAGTCCAAGGCATCAAAACTATTTTACTTACCCTACAGCCAGACAGAGTAGACCCATTTTTCAACCACATTGCATTATTTAAAAATAACCTTTTATGTTAAAATTTAAAAAAAAACCTTTGTAGCAACAAGCTTTTAGATGAACTGAAAAAAACAAATCTGCTTTCTTTCATAAAACTTTAGTGGCTTATGAGACCTTTTACATATTTTAGCAACCAAAGCTTTAATAAGGGGTCCATAAATGACCTCATACACCTAGGGAGCATCTGTGTGACATCATACTGTTGTTTATTAAAAAGAAACTGAATTTTTAGCCATATTATTATGTTGTTGCATTCTAGAATTGTTGGTTGAGCTCAGTCAATATTTTAGAAAAAATATAGGTTATAAAAAAAAAATTCAAATGCAGTTTTTTTGTTTGGGGGGGGGGGGGGGGGAATGGTTAACTGAGGTGTGATGTCATTTTACAGTGGAGTCTGGCTTTCTGACCGAGGTGAGGATGGAGGTAAAAATCGTCAAAAAAAGCTTGACGTCATTTATGGATGACACCTAACAATCTACTATTCCAAAAGCTTTTTTTTAAGGGAAACATTAAATTGCAATTAGACAAGACTTATAATTTTAATTTAGAGTAACATAAATTTCTTTTTTAAAAATATTAGCTATATTAAACAATTAGTACAGTAAACTTCTTTTATTTAAAATATTAGCTACGAGATGACCCGTGACTTAGCATGCTTCTATTTAGTTCAATTCCTATTTTTAGTAATTCATAATTAGTGAATTCGACACTACCAATGCTGTGCTGTGACTGAAAATATTTTGCTTTAAAACATTTTCAGTAGCTAGTGAAGGACGATTATCCTTACCCTCACTTTCCACTCCTCCTCCCCCCCTCCCCCGTGAAAGCAGCTGTCTGTGACTACAGTTTACAGACATAATGAAAAGAGCAAGCAGAACATGTTATTACCTCTCCTTAATTTCAAATAGATTAAAAACTAAATTATCTGCCCCTAATAGCCGTCACTACGATTGTAAACAGCTTACCAGACGGGTGGGGGTGGTAGCAATATGGTCTGTTGAGCTTATGTCTTGGTGGTGTCTCCGATGGTCCCCATGAAGAGATCTAAATATATAGATATTAAACAAATAGTACAGTAACTGTGTGAGACTGCTTTAACTGCTAAAAAAAAAAAAACCGGGAGCGATCTCCCCTAAACATTCTCAAATATTCTTATATTAAAAAAAACAGGGAATGGGAACTCTGATATAGACATGAATTTTAATCCATTTTAAATACTTAAACTTTTTAAAATAGAATAAAATCTGGTAGAAAAAAGAATTGCGCACCAGTGAACGCCAAATAAAATGTGGATAATAATGCGGAATATCATTAGTACTTTATAAATTTACATTCATTTTTTGAGAAATCTGAAATAGCATAAATTAGTATTTCCGGTCAAAGGAAATTACTCAAAATTTGACAGAAGGCAGAGAATTAGATCTTTTACTTGCATGTGAAATTTCATTTATCTATCTGAAATGGTACTCAAGTTCTAGGCTTTTGAAAAATTCAAAGTAAAAAAGTACCACTTCCGGTTATCGGAAACCGCTCAAAAGTTGATATGGATCTGCGATTTTGTTAAAATACTTATATATGAAATTTCATGAACCTAGCTGTAACGGTACTCAAGTTATCGTGTTTACAGACACACACACAGACATACACACAGACATATGGACAAGATTGCAAAATTATGTTTTTCAGTATTAGTGAGGTTTTTTTTTTTTTTGCACGATTACAAGACTATCTATCTATCTATCTATCTATCTATCTATCTATCTATCTATCTATCTATCTATCTATCTATCTATCTATCTATCTATATATATATATATATAAAGCAATGTATGTTTGTGTGTCTGTCTGTTATTCCTTTATGCATTACTACACCTCTCATCACATCGCAGTGAAACTTTGGGAAGTTGTTGAGAATATTGCTGGGGAGGTTTCTGCGGAAAAAAATCTTTCAAATTCGCAGGGGTGGCGCCCCGACAGGGCGCGATTTTTTTTTTCTATATACGGTATATAAAAATAAAAGTCGATTTTGGTTTGGCATCCTTCATGCGATAGCCATGAGACTTTGGGGAGTTCATTATACCACTCTAGGAAAGGGCTCTGTGAAAAAATAATTTTTAATTTCGCAAGGGCGGCGCCACTGGAGGGTCCGATTTTTCTCTATATACGGTATATAAAAATAATAAAAGTGAACTGCAGTGACACTGTTCATCCAATAGGCATGAAACTTTGGGGAGTTCATTATAAAACTCTAGGGAAGGGTTCTGTAAAAAACATTTTTAATTTCGCAAGGGCGGCGCCACGGGAGGGTGCGATTTTTCTCTATATACCGTTTATAAAATTTCGGTTTCACACCGTTTATCCGTGTGACATGAAACTTTGGGGAGATGATTAGATCACTCAATGGTAGGGTTCTGCAAAAAAATATTGTTTAATATTGCAAGGGCGGCGCCCCCCGTGGGAGGAGGAGCCATTTTTTTTATCTATACACGGTATATAAAAAAAACCCACCTCGGATGCGGTACATCCGAGTGCCATGAAACTATAGGGAGTAGATGGGAAGAGAATACTCCCGAGAATATTTCTGTGAAAAAGAAAACTAAAGTTTCTTATGGGCGGTGCAGTATAGGGTACAACTTTCGTCAAGAGTTTTAGAGCGACTATGTTGGCACTTGGCATCCGTTAATTGAGCGTCCTGCATAGCGAGTACGGGGGTACTACTATATTCAGCGGTAAAACTACAACAGGCTTCTAAAAATGACTTTGTAACGCGAGGAAATCCTTCTGTACAGTTTCGTCACCTTGCAAAAGATGAAAAAATAACTTGTTGAATCTGAGGAGCCTACTGTAGAGTTTCGTCACTTTGCGAATGATGCAATAAGCATCTATTATTAGACAATCCAGTCAGAAATTGAGATCGAGCATCTAATAATAGACCATTAGTAACGCTAGCATATTGCATCAGTCAACTAATTTTTTACGTGTTAAAGTACAAATCCTGTTCATTTGTGTCACTTTAGCGAATGACGAAATCTGCATTATTATTAACAGGATGCTATTTGGCCGATGGCGCCTTTTAGTTTTAAGGAGCCAGGGGTCGTACGCCGCGCCTATGCGGTAGTGTAATTGGGGGTGGGGGGGGGGCCCTGAGAGCGCCCCTCTACACCTCTGACACAGGGGCGGTAACCAAAGTGTGTTCTACCATATGATTAATGTAGTGTAGGTAAAACCGTGTCCTGATATTTATGATCCAAGCGCAGGCAATGTTGACATTTAAATAACTCATTTTTAGAAAAAAAGGTCACGCGTCTAAGAACATATAATTGATAACGCGTTGGTGAAATCCTTCTAATATATTTCGTCAAACTTTCTTCTATCCCCGCGGCAACGCGCGGGGGTCGGGTACGCTAGTTATAAATAAAACCTGATTAAATAGCAGAGGCATTTTAATTTTTTAAAAAGATCCCTTTCAAACCTGATGGTCTATTGGGCAAGTGAAGTAGAGTTCACCTGTCTTTGACCTCAGCATATGAAAAGAAAGCGTGGTCAGCACAAAGCCCAACCTCCTTTACTTTCCCTAAAGTGAGCTACTAAACCCATCAGTCACTTGGGCTGGGACGTTCAACTGACTTGACCAGGATTTGACCTTGAGCCTTTCAGGTTAGCACCTTAGTGCTCTACCCCTTAGTTTTGATTTCACCAATCTTTTTTTTTTAATTTCAAAAGTTATTAATTTCAGAAAAATCACATAAAATGAACAGCTAGTGATTGATAACAAAGTAAAAAGCTTATTTCCTACTTCTGCCAGTATTTAAAAAATCTTTTTACCATCTAGACTTGTGTTACTACTTGTAAATAAACAGACTATACATAGTTTGGGGGCACAGGACTGTACCACACATACCAATTCTGTTTTGTAGGTGTTTGATGTTAAGGAGAAAAAAATCAGTTCTTTGGCTAATTTTTTGTTCCATTTATGCTATAATTTTTCTTTTAACACAAAGAAAGGAGGAAATGTACACTTGGTACACTGGCAAAGTCTAATTGAAGCATTTTTCCCATTCAGTCCTTCGTTGTATACCCCATTTATTTATGTAAACTACTCCATGCTATCTTCCCATGGTAGCACTGAAGGTGAATCCAATGATGTGACCATGCTGGCTCTTTTGGGTCATGTCTCAATTCACCTTTATTTGTGGATACTTTTTGTTGATTAATAGCAAAAAAACATTTTTTATGCATGTTTTGTGACTGTTTGGTGGTGCATATTAAAGGTCTAAAATACATTTTTTAATAATTTGTTTAATCGTTTTCAGGAAGCAAAGCTCACCGACCAGTTGCCACTTATCATTGTTTGTGATCGATTTGACTTTGTACATGATTTAGTCTTGTACTTGTATAGAAATAATCTTCAGAAATACATAGAGATATATGTTCAGAAGGTAAGCATTACAAAATCTAATTCTTATGTTCAGTAGTTGTTTTTTTTTTTTAGTTTTTCACTTGACAATGTTATAGCACAGATCTGTTAAGGAATTCTTAAATGTGAATTTGTATTATTTTCAATTACAGGTGAACCCTTCTCGTTTACCTGTAGTTGTGGGAGGACTTTTGGATGTAGATTGTGCTGAAGATATTATCAAGCAACTTATTTTAGTGGTTAGAGGACAGTTTTCAACAGATGAGTTGGTTGAGGAAGTTGAAAAGAGAAACAGGTTGGTTTCATGACATTTGAAATATTTTATAGTATATCTTTAACAAGCTTATAAATGAATGAATCACTTTAAAAATTTTCAACTTATTGTGCCTTGAATGATGTATCCTTACTTGGTTCATGATTAACTTTTTATCAGTAATATGTTGCCATTTCCAAATTAACTACTATTTTGTTTTGGAAATGACAGCATATAGGCAGTGTGTTGCATTAGATCTAAGCAAATTTTGTGAACACTTGAATTTGTTTCTAATTATTTTTAGGTGTTTTTTTTTAAGTTTGTCTCATTTTGTAGAATGCTTATGACACGTTACATAGATTGATATATTTTGAAACAGAAATTAAGTTTTAGTGCTTGGGTAAGATTTTCTGTTTTATTTTATGCATCATAAGTGCTTACAGGTAAGTTTTTACTTGGGAAGAAATGTTGTATGCTGAAAAAAATCTCTTCCATGTAAACATGGTAATGCACATCATTTTCACTATACACAATAGAAAAGCATGGAGCTTAGTATATATCAATTGCTAAAACGATTATTTTGAAACTACTGATAATTGATAAGGTAAAGCTACAGGTGCTATTTTTTCTGGGATATTCTGGATTATAGAATGTTTTCCCCCTTTCCTGATTTGCAAAATTTGAATTTTAAAATTTCTGTGTTTTCAGTTTGAAATAAAATAAAGACTGTTTTAAACTTGAAATTTTTTGGCTTCTAGAAATTTTTATTATCAGTGCTACAGTATTTTTGCAGCTCATGGTTCTTTCTGCAATTGTGCATGCGTAGATGGTACAGTATAATTTTTAAAGCTAAAACAGTCACTCTACTTAAGTATCTTCTTACAAATTCTGATGCCTTATTTATAGAAATTTCTAAATGCTTAAAATAAAGTTAATGCACATGAATTTGAGGAAATAGATTTTAATATAATTGTGCATGACACATGAACATACAAGAAAATTATACAGAAACTAGAAATACTCCACAAAAAACCAAAGCTTATTTATAAACAGATATAAATGAAGGTTTAATAAATAAAAAAAACTCCAAAATTACTAGAAAAAGTATCCAACATAATATCAACAGTGATGGGCTACTTTTGGTGTGCAATGATATAGTTTATAAAATTATAATGTAGTTTATCTTGATGGTTGACAATCTCTTGTCACATCTGTGAATAACTATTTTTGATAGCCACTCAGTACTAAGAACGTGTCACAGAAGATATTTTACATAAGTGAAGTATTTGCATGAGGGCTATAAGATGGTGAAGCTTGTTACAGCATGATTCTATGTTGAGACTGTTACATAGTTATTTAAGAAATGTTCGTCCTTCAATTAAAAAAAAAAAAAATCAGCTATTCTGTAAACACAATCTTCATGCCATTGTACTGAAATGTTACTTACATTGAGTTCTTTAAATAGCAAAAGTATGTTGATATATAACTGTTCTTTGCCACTAATTTTTTAATCTCAGAGCTTTCCAAACTGGAAAGAGGAAAGTGTTTACAGAAGTCCATGATCTATAAAAATTTAAATATACTGAGTCAATTCATACACATTTTTGGGTTTCAAGGGAAGACCAGTAAGTAAAAAGTTAAATAAAATACTTAAAAAAAACTTTTTAAAAAACCACGTTTTTCTTGTGGACTAAAAAGTAAAAAATAATTTTTTCTTGTGTGCTTCCTCGAGCTGTGCAGGTTCTTGTGTTGACTGACAAAAAACGTGGGTATGTTCACCATCAAATTTCCCGACCCATCTGCCCGACCCACGTTTTTTGTCAGTCATCACAAGAACCTGCACAGCTCGAGGAAGCACACAAGAAAAAATTATTTTTTACTTTTTAGTCCACAAGAAAAACGTGGTTTTTTAAAAAGTTTTTTTTAAGTATTTTATTTTCTCCCTTTTAGTCCGTTGCTACACATGAAAAACGTGGTTTTTAAAAATTTTTTTATATAGTTTATTTTCTACTTTATCTAATGACTTGATTAAGTATGACTTGACTAAGTGTTTTTAAATACACGGACTAAAAAAATCTTGAGCGACCGATACGCTTTAAACAGAGAAAGGGTGTAATTTACGTTGCTGGCGTGGAGATCTACTCACGAATCACGTGATCAAATCTCCCATAAACAAACAAATAAACGCGAAGCTGAGTTAAGGAAAAACGTGTTTATGTGTATTTTAGCATGCCCAGCGTACCAACCGTGTCACCGTTAACAATGTGTTACCGTGTCCGTTCTCCTTTTTAGTCCGTTGCTACACATAAAAAACGTGGTTTTTTAAAAAGTTTTTTTAAAGTATTTTATTTTCTCCCTTTTAGTCCGTTGCTACACATGAAAAACGTGGTTTTTAAAAAAGTGTTTATAATTACACGGACTAAAAATCTTGAGCGACCAGGATTCGAACCTGGGTTGTCGCGGCCACAACGCGAAGTACTAACCACTATACGATCACGGCCAGCGCGCTCACATCGATTGGGGCCGAAGTAACTGTGTCTATAGGCCTCCAGTCTTGTCGGTATCTTTAGAAATCATGTCCTCAATTTTATGGTCCTTGGGGCGTAATTAAATTAAGCTAATTACGGTCACTAATTGCTAGTTTTTATGATTGCATCTGAAATTGTTAGGCGAAAGTAGCATGCATGCCAAATTTCAGGTCTATAGAGCAATCAGAAGTGGGCTAATTTTCGATGTCAATTTTAACAACAAACATCCAAACAAACAAACAAACGCGAAGCTGAGTTAAGAAAAACGTGTTAAAAAATTGGCGTAACCAATACTTGATGGAGAAAAACTGATGACAGGGATCAAACAGCACTGTGATCAGATGTATTTACTTTCCTTACTTTTGGCTTTCGGCTATTTTTGAATGAAGAAAATCTGTGAGCTTAACCCATCTCCTGCTAATATCCCATAAGTGGGACGCTTGAAAAACAAAATTGTGAAATTTTATCAACAGTTTAATACACAACTTAGGTTTCTTTGTATTCGGAAATGGTTAGACTTTTGTATTTTTTAAGGGAAATTTTTAAATTTAGATACAAGGTTATAGCGCCGGTTTTGTTAACCTAATATTCGCTATTCGAACCTGACAGTCCATGGGGCAAATAAAGTTTTTTTAGACTTGGCAAAATGTCAGTAAAAAGAAAACAGACTCAAGGGCATGTCTATTTTTAACAGCAAAATGGATTTGAAACTTGTAGCAGTACCATATTTCTATCTAATAAAAACTTAAGAATATTTATTTCCAACTACTTCATTAAATCAAGTGGAAAACAAGCGTCCCATAAGTGAGACTCTAGCAACCAATGGCCCCCATGTAGGGGGTTGCACAAATGTCCCACTTATGCGACACAAGCAAGAAACACAGTTGTCAGTGGGATTATTAAATAGTATCTATAGATATTTTGACCTATATATTAGGTAAATATTATTGTAAAAAATTATTTTTCTGGTGTCAGAATGACATGAACTGAAGTATCCTAGATCATTGAGTCTGCTAATGCCTCACAATGGTCACAATTTAGGAGACAAGTTTCTATCAGTGGGTTCCGACAGCAACATTTGGAAATACTATTGTTCCAGGAAAGGTTCATCAACGTGATCTCTCCTTTTTAAAGATTTGCTTAGCAAAACAGGAAAAATGTTCAGATGGTATGGACAAGTGATGATCCAGCACAATCCTGGGGGGTAGAGGAGAAAGAGAGCATGTGGGGGTAATGGCAAGGACTGGACCGGATTGTCCTTTGCAGACATACTGAGGACATAGGACCTGGTGATGAGTTGCCAAAGAGGCAATCATTCAACTAAGTTATGGGGCAGGATGATAGCATAGCTGTTCTATATAATGTAATCATCTAAAGGTCTGAAAACTTGTGCCACCACACTGCATCCTGCTTGACCAGTGGCAGACCAGGTTGTTTGGGCTAAGTCTGTGGTAAATTCACTCACCCTGTCAATGGTCCAAGTAGAGACTGATTGAAGTACAAATTAACAATTCATTTTCCGAATGCTTGTCTGGTTATTTATGGGAAAGTCTCCAGGTAGAAAAATATTACTTTGGCACCAGTTTTAAAATGACCTTTTATGTACTAAAAATATTGTTTAAAGTTTATTTTCCTAAAAACTGGTGGACATAAATAAAACTATTCAGGTATCGTCAGCAGTGCTTTCCCAATTTTTTTTCTAGATTTTTTTAGCTTGCTGTGATAGAATGGCTTTCAATATTATGTTCAGCTCACATGTAATTATTTTTTAAAATGTCCGGTTTGAAATGGCACACATTCTTTAATAAGCACAAATAAATAAAAAATGAGCTCCATTTTTTTCTCTTCATATTAGCAACATTGTTTTTTTTTGTTCAAGCATGATATTTCAGTTTAACTATTTGGTTTTGGATTGCTCATTTATATTAGCTATTTTGTGCATCAATAAATTGAGTTATGTAAATGGATGTGCAACTATTTTTACAAAGAGCTTACTCTATTTGAATAATGATATTTCAAGAAGTTTTTTTCCCCTAATGTTGATGGACATTTAATAAAGGTACATTTTTGGGAAATCATTTATTTAGTTTCTGGTTCAATTGTTGATTTATTTTCTTTGTCAATTTAAGTGGCTTAGCTGCAACACAACTGCCATAGGTTATTGAAAATTTATTCTAAAATTTAGCAAAAAAAATTTTTTTTACTTGTGTTAATTAAGTTACATGATTGAACACTTATGTTGTATTTTTTTTTTAGCCTTTTTCTCTTAATTAGGCTGTAAAGTCAGTATTATCTTTTTAGTAATTATACAACTGCATCCATTGTAGATTAAAGCTGCTGCTTCCATGGCTAGAAACCAGAGTGCTAGAAGGAGTGACCGAAGCTGCTACTCACAATGCTCTGGCCAAAATCTACATAGATAGCAACAACAACCCTGAAAGATTCCTCAGGTAAATTCACCAAAGATGTTACTTTTCCTTTGAAAAAAAAAGTTTTCTTTTTACAAATAAGAAAAACTAAAAATTAAAGAATGTTGAATTTAATAGCATTTACTGGATACATGCAGCTCTTCCTTCCTCAAAAAATATGTTTTAAATACTTAGTAACTTTTTTTTTTAAAATGGAGATCTGATTTTTATTCCATTTGAAGAAAATAATTTTTTGCATTCAAGAAAGATCTTTTTATTATTATAACTCACAAGATGGTTTTGTCACTTATCTCACTTTCTTCCTTCCATGAGTCATGTTTACATGTGTAAAATTAGTGTTACATTTCGTTGAAATGTATTGACTGGTTACTTTAATAGCTTTTACACCGTGCGGCGTCAAAACGGCCAATGTCAAAATGACCCCGACATAAGAGCTCCGCCAAAAGGGCCAGCGACATATGGACCCCGTCATAAAGGCTCCATATAAATAGGCTCCTGTTATATAGGCTCCCGACAAAAGGGCTTCATTCAATTAGGCTCCTGACAAATAGGCTCTTGTCATTACGACTCCCGACGAATAGGCTCCCGCCATTTAGTTTCTCCACAAAACGGCCCCGTCATTATGACTCCCGACAAATAGGCTAGCGTCATTTTGGCTCACGACAAAAAGGCTCCTGTCAATTTGGCTCCAGACAAAATGACCACTGACAATACCGTTTCTGTAGAGACCAAGTCTCCCGGCAAAGCGGTCTAATTGAATATGACACCTGCCAGTCGGACCCCTTCATTAATATTTTTTAACCAACACTCTTAAGTAATACAATGTATGCATCTCTTGTTCGGCAGGCCTTATTTTTATATTAGTTTATCTATTATAAAATAAAGTATGTTTTAATTTAAGGGTCATCTGTCTATGACTTCCATAATTGAGTTGGTTATAGAGTGTTCCAACTCAGTGTGTGGGGAGAAGGGTCCACGCTGTACCTTCCTACCTCCAGTATGCTTGTAGGTTATCAAAACAAAATGTCGTTATCTGTAAACATCATGTATATTGTACATTTTCACTTCTGTGCTCGCTTTTATGCAACAGATCTTTACTGTTGTAAATTAAACATTATCAAAATTTTTGAATTGGTAAATTTTAGCTGTTAAGGGCTTAATTCGTTTGTGAATTGATGTTGGCTCATGAAAAGCAGTTTCATTCAGGCATTAAAAAGAGGTTATAGTAGTAGTGGAGGTAGGACAAAATGGTTACTTTTCGGCCAATAGTGGTCATGCCATTCATTTGTCTGGAGCCAATATGTCGGAAGCCCATTTGTCAGAAGCCAATATGTTATGAGCCCATTTGTTGTGAGCCCTTATGTCGGGAACCAATATGTCCTGAGCCAATATGTCCTGAGCCTATTTGTCGGGAGCCAATATGTCGGGAGCCTAAATGTCGGGAGCTCATTTGTCGGGAGCCTATATGTCGCGAGTCAATATAACGGGAGCCCATTTGACAGGAGCCAATTAGTCTGGGCCCTTTTGATGGGGCTTTTTTGACGGGTTGTATTAAAGGGGCCGTTTTGACAGGGCCGATTTGTCCCGGCCGTTTTGACAGGGCACCCTACACAAGTCTAATTATTTGCTTTTATGGACTTTGATTCTTAAAGCCTAACTAAAAAAAAGAATTTTTGGGTCTATCAAATTTAAATAAAATTAAGGATTACATTATTACAATAACATGCAGCTTTTTAAAAAATTTCCTTAAGTTTATTTTCATTGGGGTTAATATTTTAAAAAGTTATTCATAGGGGCTGACAATAATTGATGTGGAGGAAAAAGATCAAGTAGCATAATGATTTTGAAAACATTTATACAGAAGTTGACCTCTAATATAGCCAAACTGTGAGTGTGGTGGGGGGGGGGGATTTTCTGTAGATGTGCTACTAAATAATTGTGAGGGCACAAAATAAAAAGAAACTTAAAATTATTATAAAAAAAAAATATTTTGCATGGAAAATAATTTTAAAAAAAAAAGCATTATTTAGGTAAGCACTATTTGATTTTACAAACATTTTAAAAATGGTTTAATTTATCATGCAAAATAGAAATAGTAGTAATTTTTTAAATGTATCATCAGTTAATTACAGTATTTTTAAAAGAAAAGTTAGAGTAATATTTAGTTGTCAGATATACATGCATTATTTGCAAAACTAAACTGCTACACCTAATTATATTAAAAATTGATTTTTTAAATGCCTATTAAATTTGACCCATTTTTGTACTCCTTAAGTTAATATTGGCCTAGGAACTACCCTATTACACATATAAACATTAGTGATTCAAATTTAGGATGCAGAAAAAAATTGTCAAAACAAATTTGCTGTTATGAATATAAAGCTCAAAATAATAAAATGAAAAACAATTCCTATCATAGATGACAGTTCATATTTTTAAAATGAGTAGGAAATAGGAATTCAATTTTTAAAAAAAATGATAAAAAACAGATTTTTGCTAGATCAGAAAAAATATTAGGTGGTGAGTCTTTGTAACTTTAGGGAGGGGAGATTTTGTGATGATAAAGTTACCATCTATATATATAATTCTCTTCTTGGAGACAATAGAAAACACCAAGCTGTAAGCGCGCTCCCTACCAACCCCACCCCTACATGGTCTGGTGAGCTGTGGTTCAGGCTAAATGTTTACAATCGTAGATGAAGCGATTTTTAAACTTAAGGGAGGTAACTAAGAGGAGGCTGCTTTCACAGGGGGGGTAGGGGTTGGGGAAAGGAGGGGGTTATCGTCCTTAACGAGCTACTGATAGTGTTTTAAAGCAAATATATTAAGTGGCAGCATTGGTACTGTCGAATTCACAAATCATGAATTACTGAAAAGTAGAAATAAAACAACTAAATAGTGGTGTATGATACGCTGCCGGTCGGCTCGTTGTAAATAAAACATGTAAAGCACTGAAAAAAATTCATAAAAAAACGCTTTAATAACAAGCTTTTATGTACTAATGCACTAAAATGTAGAAAATAAATTATAGACTACTATAAAGGAAAGCGTGAAAACTAAGAAATTTAGTAGATGACACATTTCTGCTGAACTGCAGTGAATGATCAATCGCGTCACAACAACACTCCTTAAAAAACTAACCCACTGTATCACCGAGTTTCAGTCATATCATCGTAGCCATAAACAAACACATTTTTTCACAAATTGTTTTCTAGGCTATTGATTAAATTTGATAAATAAAATTGGTATCAAATTAAAGGTAAGTAAATGTAGTTTATAATTGTTTAAATCATCGTGAACAATAATGAAGTTTAAAATCTTAGGTGACACCTTATTAAGAAATTACATAAAACTTAAGTCACCCAAAAAAAATACTGTAAAACAATATGAATTGTTTGTGGAAATTTAGCTGTAGTGTCATTTATAAGCTAATGTTTTTAAAATTTGTTTTTCTAAGCTTATCACCAGCACACCATTTGGGCATAAAAAAAGTTTTCTGTGCTGGATTATATCTGCATCACACTTCATTGGCAAAAAACACATTTAACTTTATTTAGATTGTTAAGCTAGATCTGGTAAGTTTATACTGTTGTATACTTGACATTATAATTTCTATTTAAACACATTTTTCTGATATATTTGCAGAGAAAATCAGTTCTATGATAGTCGTATTGTTGGAAAGTATTGTGAAAAAAGAGATCCTCATTTGGCTTGTGTAGCTTATGAGAGAGGACTTTGTGATGAAGAGCTTATAAAGGTGCATAATATTTTGTTTAAAACCTTTTTAGTTATAATTGATTATGATGTTAACCCCCAGCTTTGTGGATGAAAGTTCCTCCTTAAATTCCAATCCTTTTTAAGCTGGTGTTTTAAACTCATCACAACTCAACTATTATTTGCTTTTTAAGTGTTGTTTGTATGATGGAATAAAACATTTCAAACTTTTATTTTTAAAAATTTTGCTTAAAGTAAATTATTTCTAGAATTTATAAGTTGAGGAATGTATGACAGTTGAAAATACTTGAAAATTTAAATAACTGAATTCTTTTGCTGATTCGTGAATTGAGTCTATAAGAGAAGATGCTTTTTTTTTTTTAATGAAGTTTCTTGGTCATTTAAAAAATAATTTGCTAAATCAGCGTTGCTACTTATATATTTAAAACTGTGCATGCTTAGTATTTGTGGTGCAATTGTTATTTGTAAACTGAAGGTAAGAATTAACAATTAAATATGATATGAAATTTTTTATTTTTTTCCACCAAAACATGGCTGTTTTTTAAGGAAACCAATACCCCTTATACCAAAACAATATCATCAACGAATCAATATGAGTAGGCAAAAAAATTAGTTAAGAAAATAACTATGACGAGACTGCGACCATTTAAGCCACTTCCTTAGCGCCCAATATGTGTTTGAATGGTACGAATTCTAGCAGACAATTATTTTTAAAACTTGCGAACTGGGTAGTAACATCACATTAAAAATAAGGAACACTGCATTTGGCTAGATAGCCATTCAATAACAATTGTGTATTAAATTAAAGGTTAAACAATTTGGTTTGTATTCAAATATTAATAAACAATAATAAAATTAAAAATTGCAAGCAACACTCAAATAATTTGTATGAATGAGGAGTAAAACACTCATCAGTGAATATACATGTCAGGTTTCTATAAAGTTAAATGCTGGTAAAAATGTGCTACAATGTTGTAAAATAATGTATACGATTTTCTTTTCAAAGAATTTTTCTGTAACAAATTTAGATAGATAAAAAGATTGATTGATTTGATAGATAGCTATAGTTATAATTGTTACAAAGTAATATAGATAGGAGAAAAATCAAAAGGTTACAAAAACATACTGATTGACAATCCAGGTGCTTGTTTGGTTTTTTTTTTTTTTTTAAATATACTATTTGATGTAAAGTCTAAATACTTGTATAATATTCTTAAGGTGTGCAATGAAAACTCCTTGTTCAAGAGTGAGGCCAGGTATCTTGTACGCAGAAGGGATCCTGACTTGTGGGCAACTGTTTTAAGTGAAGAAAATGAGTTTAAGAGACAACTTATTGATCAGGTTTGTAGGCTTTATTGAAAATAATTTCTTTTCTTGGTTCTTATAAAGTTCATAGACTTGGGTAAATAAAAAAATTTGTTTATTTCAGACTAATGCTATTGTTGGTTAGACATGTTCAAGTTAGGTCTCATGTGCTAGTTAAATATAGTACTTTAAACTAAAAATCAATCAACTAAATATGGCTTGATTAGAGAATATAAACATAATAATAAAATTTTGATACTAAAAATAATGTTAAAACAAACATTTCATTGGAATTTTACATTTTCCCAAAGGTCTCAAGTTCTGATCTTGGTTCAGACTTGAGACTGAAAGACGTTCTGATAGGTATGAGCTTAAGTTGGGGAAAGTAAAGCTGGTTGGCCATATTGCTGATCACACCATCCGTTCATATGCCAAGGTCAAGAAACATGAACTCTACTTCACTACACATATGGTTTCCTACAAAGTCCATATTTACAAAATATATTTCAGACTAAAGAACGTCATGAAAATCTTTAGTTTTGGTAAAAAGTACCCTTACTACAGTGCGTGGGGCAGGCGGAGTAGAGTTTTTTTTTTTTGTGTGACCTCGGCATATATCCCATTTCAAGCTTCTGGGCTTTTTAAAAAATGTCAAGAATTTATATTTTTTTTAAAAGCAAAAATCTCATCTTTAGTTGTTCCAGTAGACGAATTGTGCTAGTGGGACACAAAAGCTAGTACTATCCTCCCCACACAATGTGATCATATGTTGCTAATATGGTTTTTAGCAGAGCACCAGGAGGATGGATGCAGTGTTGTAAAATACATCTGTTATTTACTCTAGGTCTTAAGGAACTATTTCAATGGAAGGCTGTCAAGTCTGAGCAGCCTTACAATTTTCTCATGATATATTAATGGCTTAGTTATGGTATGGTGTGGTGTGAAACCAGTCATCTTGTTAATATTTAATAGAATTGAAGTCTGCATTTCATGGATGGAAGTCCAAAGAAAAAAAAATGTTTTTATTAAGAAAATAACCATAAGTTTTCATCCTAATATATAAAAGCCCATGTGCGCACTTCTCTCTCTGTCTGCTACATTTTTGAGGCTATGTGATCAGTATGTTAAGAGATATATGGAGAACTAAAAGATACTGAGTTTTGCTGAAAATAAACTGTTGAATTTTTAAAATGTAAAAACAAAATTTTATTTAAAGAAGGAAAATAAAAATAAAGGCATATTCGAATGTAGAAACACATTTTTAATTATGCAACCAGAAAAGTGTTTATTGTTGTGACAAGATTGCATAAACACAATTTTATCTTCCAATTTTAGAATATAAAGAAATGAACTATTTGATTTAGATCTATAGATCTACTTATCAAGACATACGCTACGGATTGTATACAATTTTCTCTGCCAAAAGTAATACAAATTACTTTTAAAACAAACAAATACCTTTGAACAGCCGGGTTTTTAAAGGAATCATTTAAGTCTCTTAATCAGTGTGTTCATTTAATATGCTTTTCTGTTGACTAATAATGATTTGGTATTTCTAATCTAATAGGTATTGGTAACCTATGTTCTTTTAAATGTGTCGGATTTTTAGCTATTTAGATATTTCTTTGCTTTGTCACTAATATTGTTCAACGTGTAGTAAAGCACATAGCGTTTTGACCAATAACTATTTTATAAAATATTTTTCTCAAACAAATATAACATTAAAATATATAGGCCTATAAATCATGTTAACGGTACCGACGGCTAGTATTAAATATTTTACAGCTTAAAATTAAGGTTTATTAAGATAACAAGTTGAAGGTAATCAGGTCTTTGAAGAACAGCAGATAAAATGCACCAGAAGACTACATTCTAATCAACTCTACAGAAAATGTTTCAAAAAGGGTGGATAATAGTTATTGGAAAATATCAGAAAAAATGAGTTTGAATTTTATGTTTGTTTTCAAAACTTGTCACATTTCCTGACATATAGTACATATGCTATATTTCTCCAAAAGTAGCTTGATGTTGGTTACATGGGTGAACATGTTGAAGAAGAAAATAAATTTTGCACTAGATAGGTACTAAAATCATTTTAACATATATAAACATCACTTTAGAATTGCTCCATATTTGTCTGGGGTCTGCTTTTAATAAGCAGTTTGCATGGGGAAAATTCCATAACTCTCATGCAATTTGAAAGTTTTGTTGGAGTATTTTTAGGGATTAATATAGTCTATTTTCTTTTGTATGCATAGGTTGTGCAGACAGCCCTGTCCGAAACACAAGACCCAGAAGAGATTTCTGTAGCTGTAAAAGCATTTATGACAGCTGATCTTCCAAATGAATTGATTGAACTACTAGAGAAAATAGTTTTAGAGACATCTGTCTTTAGTGATCATAGGTAAAAAGAAAAAATCTATTTTATTTATTTCCTTAGTGTTTAAAAAAAAATAAAAAGTTTAATAAACTTTTTTCCCCAAAGTAACCTTCAAAATCTGGAGAGAGAAAATAATTAATGAACTTTTTATCCTCAAAGAAACCTTCAAAATCTGCTAATCCTTACTGCCATTAAGGCTGATCGGACTCGTGTCATGGAATACATCAATCGACTTGATAATTATGATGCTCCAGATATTGCTAACATTGCTATCTCCAATGAACTCTATGAAGAAGCTTTTGCTATATTTAAAAAGTTTGAAGTGAATACATCTGCTATCCAAGTAAGATATTGTTTGATCATCAGATCACTTGTAACAATGGTTTTCAATCTCTAATAGTATTTTTGGAATAGTAATGTTTAAAAGTTCTTGTCTTGAAATAGTCATAGATTGAAACAGTTTGCCTATTTTTAATTATAATTGTTACCATGTTGTATTTTAAGCAATTATTTTGGAAAATGTTGTTGCCTATCAAACCCCTATCCACAGGTTTTAATTGACAACGTAAACAACCTTGACCGAGCTTATGAATTTGCAGAGAGGTGTAATGATCCTGCTGTATGGAGCCAACTGGCTAGAGCTCAGTTGAACCAAGGCCTAGTTAAGGAAGCCATTGACTCGTACTTTAAGGCTGATGACCCTTCACAATATATGGAAGTTGTGGCTGTTGCTAGCAAGAATGGTATACTTAAGAAGTTTTCTGGTTAACCCGTTAGCGGCCAGAGCATCAAAACTATTTTATTTCCCTGATGGCCATGCGAAAAGACACACTTTTCAACAACACTTGAAAAAAAAGCATTATACACTAAATTGCTCTGTTTGTTATTTATGAGGTTAGATAGCATAATAGTTTACTAATAATAAATTAAAAAACACAACTAATCACAGAAAAACATAAACAAAACACTACTAATATTATTTCTATAAAATTTTCATTTAAAATGTTTAAAAAATTCAATGTATTCACTTCAGCCACTTACTTTTTCTATAAGTACATTATAATTAAAGCCAGATTCAGTGGCAAAGGCATTTTAATTTGATTTCATTTCACTATTGGTACTGCCAAAAAATTTTTTAGAAAAAAAAAACCTAAAGTGGTTAAACAGGTTGATTGCTAACACATCTAAGTTAAAGCATCAAAAGGCTTCCAGTGATCAAACTTCCATCCCATAGTAAGCTCATGATACTCCTAATGTTCCATCCACAATGATTCTTCTATCTAATCAGTTCATTTCTTAATGTGCAATCATGTATCTGAATCAAAACATTGCTACAGTAGTAGTTTAATCTTTTTTTACTCTTGCTAATTTGCTTAAAACAGGAAACTAATCCATTTCCCAAACCTCCACTTTTAGGGCCAATTTTTTTTTAAAGAACAAATATTGACATTGAGGAATTAAAAAAGCACCAAGTTACCAGACATAACTACATTGATAGGCCACATTAAAAACTAATTTTCTTGCGTAAATAATTGACTGAAGTTTTTTAATCAGTACAAATTTTTAACCCATGATTTTAGTAAAAAATCGAATGTACTTTCATGAACAGAAAATTGTCAGTTTAAAAAATTGAAGTGCATTAGTACATATACAAAAATGTCAATATTTATTTTAAAGTTGTCATTTTTAAATTCTAAGTTAATACATTATTTCTTATAATAACTATTACTTCAAAGAGTATTCCATTTTATAATTTAGAAATAAAAATGTATTCTGGCTCAAAGAGTAAAGTTGTTATATTCATAACAATATGCTTGATTGGGATATATTATCTGTTGCTTTTTTTTTTTTTAGAAAATTGGGAGGATTTGGTGAAGTTCCTTCAGATGGCTAGAAAGAAAGCCAGAGAAACCTTTGTTGAAACCGAATTGGTTTATGCTTATGCCAAAACTAACAGATTAGCAGATATGGAAGAATTTATTTCAGGTCCTAACCATGCCAATATTACCCAGGTAAATAGCTGATTGCATTTTTAAATGACCTTAGGCTTGTGTGTGGTCAACAATTATTTTTTAAACAATTTACAATTTACACAACTGAGTGATTAGTCATATTTCATGATTCTCAAATTGTAGAGTGTATCATAATTATACATTTTTCCTTAAAAATTGTATTTACTTTTAAATGATATTCAACAACTTTGTAGGTGGCAGATCGATGTTTTGACAACAAGATGTATGATGCAGCAAAACTGTTGTACAACAATGTATCAAATTATGCCAGATTGGCAATCACATTAGTGCACTTGGGTGAATATCAAGGAGCCGTTGACAGTGCCAGAAAAGCAAATAGCACAAAAACATGGAAAGAAGTGAGAGATATTATGTTTTATTCAATCATTTATTGTATCTCTTGATTCTTTGTTGGCAAGAACTTTTTATTTGACTGGACCTTTTCTCATTCCAGGTTTGTTTTGCTTGTGTAGATAATGGAGAATTTAGATTAGCACAGATGTGTGGTCTCCATATTGTTGTCCATGCTGATGAACTAGAAGAATTAATCAATTACTATCAAGACAGAGGATACTTTGAAGAATTAATACAGTTGTTAGAAGCTGCATTAGGTTGGTTTGCAAAGATTATCGTATGTAAACATAGTAGTTAAATGTATATCTATCATTGGAATTTAGTGTTAAGATTATCCAAAATGGCAGTTAACAAAATAGGATTAATGAAATAGTGGATTGTTTTATTTTTGTAACCATGCAACATTTAGCTTTAGACAATAAGATGAAGATATATACCCCATTTGTTTTGGTTTAGTATAATACCCTCAGGCTGACTGCACCAGTTAATTTCTCCAGGCACAGACATTGCAAAACTTCAGAGCTGATGTACTCAGCGGACACTGTTTAAACTTTTTTGGCCCAGATATAGTTTTTATAACAATATTTGAACCAAATGTATGCTTTTATAAACATTTACTTGGATCAATAGTTGATAAGCTGTGATCCAAAAATATACTATACTATCCTAATAATCATGCAATAAAAGAGGCATCAAACTTCATTTATAAATATTTAGTCCTAGACTAAATACTTTTGAACAAAGAAATGTTATCTCACATACTTGAAATGCTCTATTGAAAAGTTTGATCATAAGCCCATCTTTTACATGCCCACTTAAGAAAATAAGCACAACTCTTTAAATCATAGGTGGACATAGTACATCAATTCACAATAAATACAACTTATCAACATCCTTATTTCAGTACAAAGGATAACATATAATACATATTAAATAAAGGCTTCATTTTTTTTTTCAACCAACACATCTTTGGTAATAGATGTAGCAAAATGGTTGGTAATAGATGTAGCAAAATGGAGCTATTATCCACCTTATAGACTACCCATCCATAGGAAGTTGTTTTGACAGTTACTGTTCAGTTGTATTAACTTAAATGATTTTCCATCAAAGGGAAATAAATGGCTTGATAGATGGTAATAAAAGCGGTGACCAGAAAGGTGCGCTATGTGCAAAGAGAAATTATCATTTGCGCATTTTTCCGTTGCGCTTTTTTCACCGTTGCGCATCATTCCGGGATCCGATAAAAGCATATAAATGGCACAGAATAACTCCAAACATTTAAAATACTTTTGTGGTTATGTATGTGAATATTACATGATTGAATTGTGATATCTGGATACTTTTAATTGTTACAGAATTTTATGAAAGCTTCTACACTTGATGGCTTAAAAGATAAGTCCAAATTATCAAATTGATAAATGACTGAATGTTCCTCTACAGGTCTTGAGCGAGCACATATGGGCATGTTTACTGAACTTGCCATTTTGTACTCCAAGTACAAACCTGAGAAAATGAGAGAACATCTAGAACTATTCTGGTCAAGAGTCAACATTCCAAAGGTTTGTTGTCTGATTAGCTAATTACATTTTTGTTCAGTTTTTACTTGGTTTCACTACATTGAAATAAAAGTATAGAAAATGTAATAAATCTATATAATTGCAGGTTTTGAGAGCAGCTGAGCAAGCACATCTGTGGCCTGAGCTTGTATTCCTTTATGATAAATATGATGAGTTTGACAATGCAATTCTTACCATTATGGCACACCCAACTGAAGCCTGGAGGGAACCACAATTCAAAGATATTATTACCAAGGTGAGTTTTAGATTTCATATTAGCAATTTGAACCATATACCTCTTGCTTGTTAATATGATAATGTAGAGTGGGCCTGTTGTAAAATCTCCCAAAGCGAAACAAGAACTCAAATCCTAGAGAAATTAAGCTAATTGTGGTATTTGAACTGAACATTGTTAATAAGCGTTTAAATAAGATTTTCCAATCATGGTTATAAACAGAATTGCGCACATTCTAAGTTATAGAAACAAGCATATATTTCTACCACTTTTTATAGTTCAGGCCCACTAAAAACAATTCGAAGATATTTCTTCTACTTTATGTATTGCCTACATGTGACTACTTTTACTATCAAACAGTTGTTTTGTATTTTGTTTTATATACAGTATGGGGGTGGTTTAGAATAACACGTGGGGGTACAGACAGATATACACATTTTAACTAAGTTTATTATATGTTACAATTTTGTTCAAAGATTACTTACAAAGATAATAAGTCCACTAAATAACTGTATATTGAACATAATAGTAATAAAATGAATCGATTGTCTTCAAAAGAAATGAAATAATTGTCAATTTTATTCTTTTTAGCTCGGTGCGATTTTTATTATTTCTGGGTTTTAAAATTTCAGTTTCAGAATTGGTAAAATTTTAGGATTGATTAATTACATTTTGATATATACATTATAATTGTTTAACAATGTGAAGCAAACAGCTTAAATTCTAACATTATTGCATAAGCTCATCACACTTTCTGAAAACCTCCTCACCCTCACTAAAGTCCAAGCCTAACCTACAAAGTGTATCTTCATTTATTGTCGAAATGGTAAGAAAGAGATGAAATAAACACAAAATAGAGGTATTGAACCAAAGAAGGCCTTGCAACTTTATAATTGTAAAGTACATCTAAGTATAGGGAATGATTCAGCATTTTTTCCCAAACACACCCACAAAAAGTGTTTGATACTATGCATAAGGTTTTGGTTGGTAATGGAAATTATTAAAATAAATAATATATCCTCATAGACATGCCTACCGTCTCGCCAAAATCAGAACCGTCCCGCTTTTTCACCTAAAAAAGTAATTTGTTCGGTCATGCATATTTTGACTCAATTTGTTCAGATTTTTTTTTGAAAAAGAAAAATTAATAAAGAAAGGTAATAACGTGAATTGAAAAAAAAGCAGGGAAAAGCGATTACCTCCCTTTGGCATTAGTTTCCATTTCCTAGTTTTCTTACAATGTTTACAAGTATCTAGCTAGACTAGATCTGCATCTACTAACAGATAATGTGGACAATCTAGCTACTAAACGTTCCTTTTAGTATTTGCAATTGAATTGTAGATTTAATTTATGCCTTAAATAACATGTAGGGTGAAAAATACAATAAAACTATTAAAACCATGACTAACATGCTAATTTAGTAATTTGACTAACATGCTAATTTAGTAATTTCTAGATCTAGATTTTCTAGATCTAGATTATTATCTATATAATTCTCTTCTTTAGACAACAAGCTGTAAGCGCGCCTCGCAGTCCCCTTTCTTCCTCCTTAGGCATATCGCAACGACCCCCACCCCCACATGGTCTGGTGAGCTGTGGTTCACGCTATATGTTGACAATCGAAGAGCCGGGTTTAGTGACGGCTATTAGGGGCAGATAATTTAGTTTGAAACGATTTTAAAACTTAGGGGAGGTAACTAAGAGGATGCTGCTTTCACTGGGGGGGAGGGTTTTAGTGTTTTAAAGCAAATATTTTCAGTGACATCATTGGTACTGTTGAATTCACAAATTATGAATTACTGAAAAGTAGAAAATAAAACTTACTAGTGCGTGTGATACGCAGCGGGTAGGCTTGTTTATTATATTAGCCTACATATAATGAAGCCTTTAGCATTTGTTATTCATATAGCCTAGAATATAGCAAGCCATAAATAATCAAATCAATAATGTTATGTCAAAGCTATTGTTTTTATTGGAGGGTGGGGGGGGGGGGGGTCTCTCTGGTTACTGGTTAATTTTTTTTTTTTAATGTAAGCTGACATTAATGATAAAGCAGTTTTTAAATGTAGCCTAGAGGCTAGTTGTAGTTATATTTTTAGAGTAATTTTTAATTAATTAATTTTTATTTTTGACTTAGTAAAGTAGCGTCAGCGCGTTTGTTCCTCTTTTTGGCTACAAATTCCTATTTTTAGGCATGACTGTTCCTACTTTTGGCTGACAGGGGTAGGCATGTCTGGCCTCATCTACTTTTAATATTTAGAACTTAATAAACATCACTGAGGAATACTAAAACTTTTATGGAGGACATCCAACTCGGAAAGTGGGGGGGGGGGGGGGTCTAAAATCTAAAAACATTAGTTGATGCAAGCACTGATTGAACAGTACTTGACAGCTAAGCAGCTTCGCCCAACCCTGCCTCAGCAACAGACAGTCACACCCACTCATTAACAGATCGGGGGGGGGGGGCTGTCCTTGCCTGGTAAATTAATACTAACAACCTTAACAGAACCAATGATGAATCCCCTTGCATTTCTCCTTAGGTGGCAAACATTGAGCTCTATTATAAAGCAATCCAATTCTACCTTGATTTTAAACCAATGCTGCTCAATGATCTTCTACTTGTGCTCACACCTAGACTGGATCACACACGAGCAGTCAACTTTTTCCAGAAGGTTAGTACACGTTTCTTTCATCTGCTCATCTTCAAGTTTACAACCATTACATCTTATGAAGTGGCCAGATTAATTAGATATTTTGAAAACTGCATTAACCAAGGTGATTTGTTTTTGTTTTTTACAAATGTCTACAGGTCAATCAAATTCCTCTTGTCAAGCCATATTTGAGGTCTGTGCAAAAAAATAATAATAAAGCCATAAATGAAGCAATAAATAACCTGTTTATTGAAGAAGAAGATTATCAAGGATTGCGCACTTCCATTGATGCATACGATAATTTTGATAACATAGCTCTAGCTCAACGTTTAGAGAAGCATGAATTAATAGAGTTCAGGCGTATTGCTGCATATTTGTACAAAGGCAATAACCGCTGGAAGCAGAGTGTTGATTTGTGCAAGAAAGACAGGTTGTTCAAGGTTAGAGCTTTTATTTTTATATTTTTTTCCCCTTTTAGATGTTTTTTGAAAATGTTTACAAATTCATTCATCCTAAGGTATCTTCTAGATTTAAATTAACCCAAGTGTATTAACTCTAGGATGCAATGACATACGCTGGGGAGTCCAGACAAATTGAAATTGCTGAAGACCTTATTGCATGGTTCTTGGAAAATAGCAACCATGAGTGTTTTGCAGCCTGCCTTTTCCAATGCTATGACCTATTAAGACCAGATGTCATCTTGGAACTAGCATGGAGACACAATATAATGGATTTTGCTATGCCATACATGATTCAAGTCATGAGAGAGTACACCTCAAAGGTAAATTAAATTAGATTAACAGCAATAAAAGAAAATTACCTGGGATGTTGTTGAAATCACTGCAATACAGTTGTAGGCAGAGGTGAACAATGGCCTGGTGGTTTGTTTTTTAGTGTTATAGTTTATGTCCTTAATACAGGGTTCCTACAGAGCCGGAAAATACGACTAATAGCCGGGAATTTTTCATAACAGCTGGGAATTTTGTTCATCCCCTAATATTGCGAGATTTGAACTAGGCCTAATGTAGTCTCGCCAGTTGTCGTTAAGAGTAAAGGTGCACAAAACTAGACTCGTGGAATTTGAGCAAACTATAATCACCCATGATTTGCAATAGTTGCTACAATTTCAAATTTTTTTCTGGGGTGCCACTTTTCCATTTTATCCCTCTCCGGGTTAACAAAATTTGAGTTTTAATGGACGGGTTTGAAGTTAAAACAAAACGACTTTTGACTTATGATTCTAGAAATTGTTTTTATTATTAAGTTTCCGGAGCCTTTTTACTGTTGGTCTGTTTTATCATCAGCTATCTCAACTAGTAGTTGTTGGTGTTATGACATATGGTCTGTTTTATCATCAGCTATCTCAACTAGTAGTTGTTGGTGTTATGACATATGGTCTGTTTTATCATCAGCTATCTCAACTAGTAGTTGTTGGTGTTATGACATATGGTCTGTTTTATCATCAGCTATCTCAACTAGTAGTTGTTGGTGTTATGACATATGGTCTGTTTTATCATCAGCTATCTCAACTAGTAGTTGTTGGTGTTATGACATATGCTATAGGCCTTCACAATGACCTCTCCACTGTGTCTAGTAGGGAGATGCCATACCGTCCATTTTTTATAGCAGTCTAAGGCTAATTGAAAAGCAAACATTGATGTGTTTACTATCGTCAGGATTATAGGCCTGCTTGGCTCAGATGCTAGTAATTTTTCCAAGATTGTTTTCTCTTCAAAATACGATTTATTTGAAATTAAAAAAAAAAAAAACTAGAATCTGATATCAGTTATTCTGGTTGATCTTATTGTCTATCAAACTAAAATGTTAAAATTACTATTAGGCTCGTTTAAGCTTAAAAAATCCAGGTACCTCTAAGAAACAACATAATCATTCAATTGAAAACAGTGGGAATGATCATTATTGTTTAAATATGTTCAATTTTGAAAAAACTATTTTCATTTTTGTGAACTTTTTAAAAAAAACTGTTTCAGTGTTATTTCATAGTAACAGAAACTTCTTTTATTTTAGATATTAGCTATACTAATGAATGAATTAGTACAATAGTAGCGTGAGTGGGATTTTCAAACTTATTGTCTTAAATTGTTTCCTGTATACAGCTTGTTGGTTGCGTCACTAACCACACACTTTTGGCTGACTACACACTTTATTGAAGTCAATATAGGAAGTGCTAAAATTAAGTACTTAAATATTTACAAACTGCAGTGTACATTTCTACAACTTTTTACATTAGGTTTCAAAGTGTGACTACTATCAGCTTACCTCACTATATTAATATTGATTGTATTCACATAAATAGCTGTTTTGTTTTGGGAGGCTCTATAAATGTAATATTACATTATGGGATCAAGATGAGTCTACTATTTTAAACTATTTTAGTTATATGCACAATCCTTTTTAAATATTAATTTTTGTTTAAAGATTGTTATAAAGTTAAAATCAAAAGGAATGTATAATATTACAAAGTATGAATCAAATGTCTCAAACATCAAGTTTCAGGGTTTAAAAATTTCAGTTTTCGGATTAAATTTTAGGATATGATTCACTTAAAAAATGAGTAGCACCCCTTAAAAATGTCTGGGTTTTTTGTGGTTTAATTAAATTTAATTTGGCAAACTTATTTTCAATGGTTATGCGCCAGTTAAAATTAATATGAAAACTAACATGGAATTTTTTTAATAGTAGGGAATTTCTTGGAATAGCAGTGAATTTTCTGGTCAAAAAATTGTGGGAACCCTGTTAAAAGGAAAGATGATCATCATTGGGTTCACAGAATGCATTAAATGTTTTAAGATATATCATAAATGATGAAGAATTTCCACAAATGTATTGGGGTGGATGAATTATTGATAACTTGCCTTAAAGGTTCTGTGATGGCTCAGAAGTCAATGTCACAGATTCTACACCACCTGATGAAGTGGTGACTTTGAAAGAACAGTGATGCTCTTCTTGGCTCGATCATCTCATTACTGTACCGCTCATTCATCACTATGAGCTGATGATGTATAAACACTTGTATGAGTAGTCTTTCCTTCCAAGGAATTCATTTGTTGTGAATGGTCCTGACACTTGCTGCAAGGGAGGAAGAACTACAGTGAAGCTGGGTTTTTAATGCCGTTTAAATATATGTATTACAATCAAGCAAGTCAAGAAAAATTTGTACTCAAAAGTTAAGTCAAACAACCTAATCTATTGTGCAGGTTGACAAGCTGGAACAGTCTGAGTCTGTGAGAAGTGAAGAGGAACAGAAGGCAGAAGAAAGACCAATTGTTTTAAGTAAGCCCTAGATTCAATTTGTACATTTGTTCCATTGTGAACATTGTTTATGCATACATTTTTATTTTGAAGTTTTGCAAATTGTTTTTAACTATTATCATTCTTGTGATATTTTTGTGATGTTTTTTCTGTAGCGGAACCCCAACTGATGCTGACTGCTGGACCAATGGGAATCCCACCTCAGGCTGCTTATGGCTATGTTCCTGGAGCAATGCCTGGTGCAATGCCTGGCTATGGCTACACTATGTGAGAATTTCAGTGAAAGTGGTTAAATTTATTTCCTCAGTGTGAAGCATTGAAGTTGGCTAAAAATCTCATCTAAGATGATTTCTCTAGTTATTTGAGATTAGCAAACCAATCACTGACTGAAGTGGTACGTCAGTGAAAAGCTGTCAACACATTTGTGATGAATACAACTAGCTGATATAAATGTACTTCTACATGATTTTATTTTTTAGTTGTTGCGCCATATATCTACTGTCATATTTCTTTTTATTGTATGACACTAACAATAGTGTTAATCGTTTCCAATTATAACATTTCCTAGCTTAGTTCATATTAAAGTCAGTTTAATATATCATGTTCCTGATTTAAATATGATTCTTCACCTAGGGCTAGCAAAATTTAGCTAATGAAATCGGCCAATTAGATGTGCAATCAATAAGTATCCTAATGATTTTCATTACCAATTTTTAAGAACAGCCAAGAAAAGCATACCATTAACATTAGAATCATATTTAGTTTTGGTCAATTTTAAGCTAAGAAGCAGATAAAAGTATGGATTGGATAGCACTTTGAATTATAATGACCTGTTGTCTGGAGACATGAAACTGGTACAAGCTAGTAATACTAATCCAATAGAAGCCTCTTTCTTATTTGAAATGAATGTAACCAAGTTTTTTTATTTACATGTTATAAGCATGTGGGTTGAATTGTAAATGTTTTTAGATTTGTGATACACATACTAAACAGAAATTAATCTTTTTTCCCTTGCACAAGTTGACTTTGTAAAATTAAATGTTATCTAAATACTTCAACCAGTAGCTATTATTAGTACCTAAAAAAATATTTTGATGCAATTAAGTGTAATAAGAATAAGAGCAGCCAGATAGATTTGATATGAAAAAATAGGGATTAGATAATGACTGTCTGTCTTATGTGTGTATCAAACGGTGTTATGTATTCTACTTGTCTTGTATCAATCAACGTAGTTAGCTCACTCTCTAATCTTTGTTGGTGTTGTTCTACACTAGTTACACTTGGTCAGCTCTCAAACTTATCAATGTTGATTGCTCTACTACTGGTGATATTTTTTTCCCCTTGAAATTGAAAAAAAAAACAAGCAAATTCTAGGATTAGAAATGAAAATCAACTACTGTTCAACATGATTTTATGTCACTTTTATTTTTTTATGACTTCATTTTTCTTTAAGCCCAAACTATTTCACATTTTTAAAAACTATTTAAAATAACATTTGCTGATTTTTACAAGGAAAACATTCCTATTGTTGGTTATACTTTGTCATTTACAATTTTTGTAGGTAAATTTGCATGCTTGTACTCCTCATGTATTATCATAGCAACTGGTATTGCCTTAGAAATAGTCTCCCCTGGGCAAGTAGTGATGTTTGTCATTGCTAGAATTGATGTGGGTACACAGCCAGCAGTAGTTTGATGTTGTATTTATAAGGATGTGGATGGAAGAAATATGCAAAACTCGGATAACAGATGTAGTTGTCCCATTTGTTTTTACAATTGTATTTCAGTCACTTTTTTGTTACCATTGTCATTATTTGCTTGTAAAATGATTTTTCTTTCTTTTAAAGTTCCTGTGGGTAAAATTAAGTTGACTGTGTGCACCTCTGATAGAAGATCAAAGCTAGATATTAGTAACAATCAAGTAGTAATGCATGTTGACTGTGTTACTTGAATTATTCATTTCTTAGGATTTGATTTTTCCATTGACAAATTGTCTGGCATTTCAGTTTTTACCCCAATATGTACCGAGAACAAATAATTTAAAATGAGTTTGTCCAGTAATTTTACCCCTTTCTACCCAACCTGAGTTTTCTACTCTGCATTATTTGTTCAATCATTTTCAAATATTTTTCAATGCTCTTGTTGGTAGTGTGAGGGACTTTTAAAAAAAAATTGGCTAATGATACTGTTTTGTTAATTTATTGGGCGCAAGTATCGCATTGGTATGACTTATTTAGGCTTGTGAAACTGTCATAGATTTTTGGGGTCTATAAATTTGATGTCTTATAGTATGTCAGATTGTGTGCTGTAATTATTCTGTTGGTTAAAGAGCTATTAAATATACCAAGTATACAGTCCTCTATCACAGAGTTGTTTTTCTTATAGCCTCATACCATCATTTAGAATACGGTCTAATACTAAAGTTGGACTGACCTCCCCTAAACTTTCTCGAATATGCTTTTCAATCCAGCAAACCATGCGTTGTTTACCTGAAGGGAAAAAAGCTGGAGTAATCTCCCCTAAACTTTCTCGTAAATACATATAGACTACGGGGGGGGGGGGGTGTCAACTCTGGATATAGACTTGATTTTTAATTACTCAATTTTAAAAAATAGAATAGACTATGGTAGAACAAAGAACTGCGCATCCAGTGAACAGCAAACAATCTGTAAAATAGTGCCGAAATATTTATATACGAGCCGACCCGTGGCATATACGCCGCTATTTAGTCGTTTTATTTTCTACTTTTCAGTCATTCATAATTTGTGAATTCGACAGTACCAATGCTGCCACTGAAAATATTTGCTTTAAAACACTATCAGTACATCGTTAAGGACGATACTACCCCCACCCTCCTTTCCCCCAACCCCTACACCCCCCCCCCCCCCCGTGAAAGCAGCCTCCCCTAAGTTTAAAATAGTTTCAAACTAAATTATCTGCCCCTAGTAGCCGTCACTAAACCCGGCTCTACGATTGTAAACATTTAGCTTGAACCAAAACTCACCAGACCATGTAGGGGTGGGGTGGTAGGGAGCGCGCTTACAGTTTGGTGTTTTTTAGCGTCTCCAAGAAGAGAATTATATATATATATATATAAGATAGATTATAATTTCATATGCGGTTTTTTTTATTGAGAAATCGGAAATAGCGCAAAGTACTATTTCCGGTCAACGGATAGAAGGCAGAGAAGCAGATCTTTTACTTATATGTGAAATTTCATCTATCAGTCTATCTGAAACAGTACTCAAGTCATAGGCTTATGAAAAAATAAAAGAATAGGTTCCACTTCCGGAAATCGCAAAAAGTTGATAAATAACTACACGTCCTAATACATAAAAGCCCATGTATGCACTTCTCTCTCTCTCTCTCTCTGTCCGCAAAATATTTTCAGATGCTATGATATCAGTATCTTCTGCGATATGGAGAACTTTAAACGGACTCTTGTTGAATATATTATGTTGAATGTTTTAAATGTAAAAACTTAATTTTATTGAAAGAAGGAAAATAAAGGCAAATTCGAATGTAGAAACACAATTTTAATTATGCAGCTGGAAAAGTGTTTATTGTTTTGACAAGAACGCAAACATCAATGACGTCACATGTTTTAATAACGGAAAGAACACAAAACCAATTTTAGAATATGAAGAAATTAGCTATTTCATTCAAATTTGATTTAGAACTATTTATCTACTTATCAAGATGTAAGCTATAAAATGTATACAATTTTCTCGGCCAAAAGTAATACAAATTACTTTAAGTTTAAAAACACCATTAAACAGCCGGGTTTTTAACGGAATCTTTTAAGTCTCTTAATCATTATGGTGTTGTGTTGACTAACAATGTTTAAAATTTGGTTTTTCTAATCGGTATTGGTAGCCTATGTTATTTTAAATTCGTCGGATTTTCAGCTATATGGTTATTCTTTTGCTTATTCACTAATATCGTTCAACGTGTAGTAAGACACATTGCGTTTTGACCAATAACTGTTTTATTATATATTTTTCTCAAACACGTAAAACATTGCAATATATAGGCCTTAATTCACGTGTAACGGGTACGGACGGCTAGTTTAATATAATGGTTATATATGAAATTTCATCAACCTAGCTGTAATGGTACTCACATTATCATGTTCACAGACATACGGACAAAATTGCTAAAGTTTTTCTGACTTAGGGATCTGAAATAGTATTCAAGTTATTTGGTATTTTAGTATTTTGGGAAACTGCAAAAAAGTACCACTTCCGGGAGTCTTTTAAAAGTTAAATGAAACTTGCGTACACAATCTAATACTCGTATGTGAAATTTCGTCTACATAAGGGGTCGTCCATAAATGACGTCACACACCTGGGGGGTGGAGGGGGTTCAAACTTTTGTGGGGAGGGGGGGGGTAGAGACAGTGTTACGTCACGTAATCTTAATTCCACTAATTGATTAACATGTATTTTTTGTTTAGTTTTTAGAAAAATAAACTTACTAAATACTAAGTATTTTTTTTTACATTGGTTGCGATACTTCTAACAAAATGTATACTATTGTGTAAGTTGTCAAAAGATTGTGAAATATATCGTTGTTCTAATTAAACGCAGGAGTGAAAATTCGGACACTTCTACTTGACCGATACAATTCACATTTGACACGTGGGTCAAGACATGAAGGCAATGCAATCTGAAATTAAATTTGACTTAATTCGATGCCTAATTAATTTTTTATGAATTAATTTAAATTTGGACCGAATTAGTAGGCATGTCTATCCAACCACACCACACGCGTCATCACGTTCGATAGCTGCGCCATCAGGTTTAATAGCTGCGCCATCACGTTCAATAGACACGCAATGATTTTTAGTCATGTAACACTATCGTAAATAAAACATGTAAAGTACTGAAATTTTTTAGCGCAATTTCCATTCTGGAGAATTGCGTTTATTAACCCGTCATTTCTGGATGGATGGATGGATGAATGTATGGATGTGTGTCCGCAGCTTTAAGTCGTATCTCCTCCTCAACGAAGCAATATCGATGACTAGTTACAAAAACAATTATGTTAAGCAAGTTACGAGGATGAACATAGGCCATAAAAATTCCGGGTTTCTTTCAGGGATTTCCCGGAAAAGCCAAAAAACCTCAAAAAAATGCAGTTTTTGGCCCATATCTCGGCAACCAGACCACTTAGCGACTTGAAACATGTACCAATCGATTCCTGCCATAATTTAGAACAATATTGCCGAAGAAAGTTTTCAAAAATATCCTTTCGTTTGGTCACAACAATTTTTTTTGAATTAATTAAAATTTGGACCGAATTAGTAGGCATTTTATGCAACCACACCACACGCGTCATCACGTTCAATAGCTGCGCCACCACGTTCAATGGCTGCGACATCACGTTCGGTAGCTAGGCGCGCAATGGTTTTTAGTCATGTTACTCTATTGTAAATAAAACATGTAAAATACTGAAAAAAATAATATAAAACGTTTTAATAACTAACCAATGGTTTTACTAACCATGCTCTTGATTTACGCTACGACAGAGCTATTTTTAGATAACATAAGGAAATTGCGCTAAAATTGTCACTAGACTTTTTTTAATTACTTGTTTTCCATAAAAAACGTTTTAATAACAAGCTTTTATGTAATGATGCACTAAAAAGTAGAAAATAAATTATACACTACTATTTAAATTACTATAAAGAAAAGCGTGGGTCTCTTCTCAAATATTAGTAAAGGTATCCAATAGGTACTAAAGTGACCCACGTTTTTCTTTATAGTAATTTAAATAGTATTGTATAATTTATTGTAACACATATGGTTACCAGCCAAAGGGGGATAAAACTATGAAGTTTTTATTCATTGGGTTGCGGCCCCTGTGGGACTGCAACTGAACTGTTGACGTTTTTTTATGCTTTTGTGAGCGAAATTACCTGTGTTCCATGTCATGTGACATGTGCCTAGTCGTGTCGCACACGCAAGGCTGCTGTCTGTGGGGCAAGATGTAGACCTAATGAAGGGCTACAGTTCTGTTTCTATTTTGATCTTTTGATCTTTTGATCTTTTGGTCTTTTGGATTGTTTGGATCTTTTGGTCTATCTTGGCTAGTTCGTTTTGTACTACTGTGTTGCATCGCCGTCATGGCTCGATGCTATAAATAAACGAGTACTTGACAACAACTGTCGGCGTCGGTGTGTACTTAATCTCAGGGTCAGCCCGTCTTAACCACAACACCTCAGTGGGTAAAAGCATCCCCACTGAGTGAGGGTTACATTTGGCGCCCAACGTGGGGCTTGACCTTGGGAGGTAGGATGGAAAGCACCAAGCCGATGTTCGAGAAGTTGTCGCAGGAGTTGGCCGAATTGACGGCTAAGATGGCGGCGATACAGGCAAGTGTGCAGCGGCCCGTGACGGTGAAGGTGTGTGCTCCAGTACACAGCGATGATGACGAGTTCACCGACTTTCTACCCACGGGCGGGGTTGCAGGGGAAGCTAGCCCGAAGATGGAGTCCGTCCTGAAAGCTGTTAAAAGGCTGGACGGGACAACTGAGTCTCCAGTCGTAGCCACGGCAGCAGCTAACAGGACTATCCAGGTAGACTCACTAACGGCAGCCGTTCGCCAAGAGACGACGCCGCTGATACTCACGGAGGAACAACTTGACCGTCTGGCGGAGAAGGTGGCAGCAGCTATCCTAGCCCGGAAACAACGGCCTTACAGAGGAGCTTGTTACGGGTGCGGGTCCAGGAAGCACTTCGTCCGCGACTGTCCTAGGAAAGCAGCTAGGCAACGGAGTCAGCAGCAGGGGAAATGCCAGTCTATCAGCGTCGGGGAGCGGATGCTGATGCGTGTTCTGCCAAGCTCCCAGCCCAAGTTTACGCCACCGAGATCATCACAGTGTCGAGCAACCACAGCTCAGGTTACCTCGCCTAGCGGCTGGAGGTACGGCTGTCGGGTGTTCCGCCGTGGCGGAGGGTTGCAGCCGGAGGGTGCGCGTGAGGAGGGTAGACAGCCACACTATGAATGTCAGTCTCAGCGCGAGCAAGGTCGTCGCTTGGGAGACAGACATGACACAAGCAGAGGTCGGAGACGCCGCCGGAGGAGAGGCCGACGACGTGGTGGACGCCGCCTGGTTGGCAGCGACCCGACTATACATTGTCGAGTGCTGAAACCACTGTGGCGGAGGGGGAGCGACGGAGAGAGGTCATACCAACCAGTGAGGCAGATGAAGGTGAGGAACTGACAGTCAAGGTAGTGGTCCCAACTAGACTTCGGCCGGAGGCAACGCCTTTCGTGCCAGAGTTTGTCGCCCGGGACGGACAAGACAAGGTGATGGTCAGGCCAGCCCCACATCTGAATGAGGTGAATGCGA